TTTTTTTGGGCCCCCCCCCCCCCCCCCCCCCCCCCCCCCAAAAAAAAATAGTTATTTATACGCAAAACCAATATTTAAAAAAAAAGATTTTAGTTTTTTTTGGTGTAATTAAAAAATTCTAAAATTCTATAACCATAGACACTTACATTTTCACTAAATATTTATATTAACATTTTCCATAAATGGTAACATTTTAAAATATTTTGAGTTCATTATAGCCCTGAGAAAGTTTTCGAATTTTGTAATTTGTTTTTTTAAATAATTCACTTCTTAAAAAAAGCTTGAAAATATAACGCAAACTTTCTCGAGGGTTAATGGATGTTCAAAAATATTAAAAATTCATTGACAAGATTATTTTTTATATGCATTTAAAGTTAAAATTTTGTTGCAATTTATCAATAAATCAAAAACTTTCAAATTATTTTTTAGTTGGAAATTCATAAAAATAAATAGAGATACAAGAAAATCCGATTGCAAAATTGCATTTTTTAAATTATTTACTTGAGAAGATGTTTCAGTATTGACCCAAAGACTTATTATCCAACGCGTTTCACAGCTGCGTTTTAATGATTTTGCATGAATTTCTTCTTCAAATGAATCAATACATTGTGATAATATGTTTTTCCGTTTTGGATATACAAAAAAATTATGAGCTTTTTCGACGGTTCCAAGGCAATTTCTTATAGATTGAATTGTACATGACTTTGATAGCACTAAATTAAACGATTATGCAGCACAGTGAACAAACATTGCCAATGGATGTGATTGATTAATGTATGCTTTAACACCATTAAACTTCCCTGACATTGTCGCTGCGCCGTCGTAGCCTTGGCCACGCATAAATGCTGTTTCAATACCAAAAAGATTTAAACTGTCTAAAATTAATTTTTCTAATCCTTTTCAAGTTAAATCGGAAGCTGGGACAAATTGTAAAAAATCTTCACGAATAATCATTTTTTCTAAATCAACATATCTAGCGCATAATGAAACTTGTTCGACACCCGCAATATCTGCAGTTTCATCTGCTAAAATAGTAAAGCATTTAGCTTTATTTACTCGAGATACAGTTTTTCTAAGTAATACATTGTTAAAAGAATCAATCATGGCATTCTGACTTATGGAACTAATATACTTATTACGTAGTCCTGGACCTTCTAAAATATTTTTAAGATGCGTATCACCAAGTGCTCTATATCGTAATAATTCACGAAAATTTCCTTCGTTAGTATTTTCAGAGTTTTCTACAACCAACTGACCGGAATTTCTATGACCCCTAAGAGAGGAGTAGGTCTTGTTTTCCGCACACCGCTATAGCTTCAATAATTGGTTTAATATTTGTCCGGTTGTCTATTACTTGTTTTGTTCTCGACGAGTCTAAAATGTTTATAATAACTTCAGAAGGGTTGTTCCTTGTTTTAATAAAATTATCAGCGTCCATTATACATTTTAAATGATATTGTAAAAGATAATGTTTTTTAAATGTCTCCGTTGCATGTTTCCAACTGTCAAATTTGTATTCAGCCAAAGCCCCAAGACTTTGGTTATTAACACAGGCACCACATTAGGAAAAGGCAACACATACAAATGTTGTATCAGGTTTCCAAAGATTCGTTAATATATCATTAATTTCAGTATGCTGTAAACTTTTGTTGAAAAAAATGCAATGTCATTTGAGTTGAAATTATTAGCATCAGTAACCTCGGCTGGAACCACAACAGAAAATCGTATTTGATATAATTTGAAAATTGTTAAAACTATTAACTACGTATACGTTTATAATAATATAATACATATTACATAAAATAATATCATAATATTATAATAATAATTTTTTGTGGTATAATATTTGTAAATTGTAATTCATTAATATAATAATATTATACACAATTTTGAATTTAATAAACCGATTAAATTAATCCGTACTACGTATATAATAAATAATTTAAATATAATTATTAATTATTACAATTCAAAAGTAATACTTACTTTGATTTCATTTGACTTCATAAAATAAGAATCTAAAGTCTTTTTTTTTTTTTTTTGTGGCTCCATTTCACTGTATTAACTCGTAACCGTAAATATTAAGTATTAACTACCAAATATAAAATCAAAATAAGACCGCACGTTCAACGTTGTGTGTCACATCCTTCGTCACGAATAACATAATACAGATAAAATCCGCAACATCGTTATTCGTTACATCGTAACCACGTTATCGGGGCCAGACTAGACCAATTTGCTGAAACGTATACAACCGGTAAAATAATATCGTACATGCCCGTGTGATCCGGGCCTAATAATACAAAAAATGATTAGTATTTACTATTTAGTAATATTTTTCTTTATAAATTGCGTATTTCAACTTTTCATAGCCGAAAACCCTAATATTATCGTACACTGGTTTTATTAAAAGTTTTAAACTAAATAGTTTTATATAAAAATAAATAATACTCAATTAAATGTTACATTTTTGCTCTTTATTATTATAATTTACAAAATAATCCTACTATAAATATTATTATATTATTAAAAAAAATTTAAGGTCTCCAGACGCATTCAATAATTCTTTGGGGGGAGGGGGAACCCCCAGCACCCACCCATAAATTAAAAAGCCTCTGGCTTGTATTACTAAGTCCAATACGTACCGTCATGAGCTTCATTATTTAAAGTGAAGCTCAAATGCAGCGAGAAATATTTGACAAATACTAAAAAACATTTTTCAAATAAGAAGTAATATTTATTAATTTTAATAACGAAAAACCCTTATTTTAGGTAGATACTCAGCCGAGGGGTTATAAGATACTATACCTACTCTCTATATATTTTATATTTTTAACAGAAGCCATACTATTCTAGCAACTCATCTATACCAGTTAAACAATTAAATCATTTGAATTAAATTTATAATAGTTACAGATATATAACAACTATTTTTATAATGCACATGTGTATAAAGCCATGATATTGTGACTATTTAAGGCCAGAAAATATTGCTTATATTAATCTATTACTGGTACGTCCGACATTCCAACAATAGTATTAAACCATGGATAAACACATGTGTTTTGTCTGTGTAAATTTCTAAAACTTAATTTGAAAAGTTGATGTTTCAAATTGTTTGAATTTTAAAATATTCAATCCAGTGCTCGAATTAAAAAAATCAAGTAGAAAAGCTCAATTCGACGATTTAAAAACTGTGTTCCATGTGCACCATTATTCAACACATAACCATGGGTGGCTAGCCCTCATACCACCCCTTCCTAAATGTTTAATGCTACATAACATTTTCAGCTTAGTTATCACATTAACATTATTATATTCAAAATGCAATAAATGTAACATGTAAGTGACTGTGGACTTATATTCACCCAGTTTTTCGAAATTTTTCCAATTAATTTTCACACATCCTATCACTTAAAATTACATTTTTTTTATTATTATAATTCCCGATTTGATAGCATTGTGATAATACCTACATATTTCAGTAGAAAGAAAAAAAAATGTTCAGTGATAATATCATGATTCGTGGTTCAGGCGCATATGTCAATTGTCAACACTAGTCAACACATATTTGAAAATATAAAATTAGGTTAATTTATTAAGTTTATTGTACATACTGAGAGCAAGCGTGATATAATATAAACAAATCATAACAAAAATAGCAAGGTATTAGGTCAGGCATGTCAAACACGTGGCCTCGGGTAATATTTGTAAGGCCCGCGGGTAGTAATTATAATGAACAATTTATTGGAAAAAAATTATACAATTTTCCTTTCCTGTCACAATTATGTTAGTGAGAGGCGTACATTATATTGTCTTATCTTCTAATAAACTGTATTTGAATTAGTATTGTAAGTACCTAGTGAAAAAAATTAAAAATATATAAAAATATTTTTAATTCAATAAATTTATGTGTGCGGCCCTCAAAGTAAACTATCCAACATACTTATTATAGCACAGTTATTACTTTATCCTATTATCTTACTCTAAACCATAGAAAATATAATAAGCCCGTATTTTTTATATTAAAAATTGTATAATACTTTAGGTTATATAATTCACAAAAATTTAAATCCACATTTCAATAAAAAAATGCTGGCATAAGTTTGTGCCATCGCCTTGTAAAAGTAAAAATAAATAGCTGAGGTACCCCCCAAAAAAATAAGAGAAGGGGAGCTCGGTCCTTCTGCACACCGCCACCTCTCCACTAATTCGAGCACTGGTTCAATCTATTTCCTTCTATATGTAGGAAACTTTTGATAAAAACAAAAATAATATGATAAAAGTGTGTTTCAATTAGTCGTTGAATATGATACACATTTTAGTAATGCCTTTATATAAATATTATACTGTAAACGTACCAGACACAATCCGTGGTTTACCATCGGGAGACAAATGATCTAAATGTAGATTAAAATTCAAAAAATAACAGATTTATAAATTATAGATGAATATCAAGAATCATATGCATTTTTTGATGACTATACCTATTTATCACCACATCCACAGTATTAAATTACTGTATTATAATATTAAAAACATTAAAAATTAATGCTTATAACATTTATAACAAATTAAATGTTTACAATGTATTTAGATTGAAAGTTGCACTATCCAAATTTGGACAATTTTGGTATTTGGAAAATGGTATAATTTTTAAGAAATGCTGGTTTGAAGTAATAAGGAAAATATGACGAATATTGTAGCTGTTTGTTTGCTAATTTTGTTCATAATAATTTCAATATTTTTTATTAAGCTACTTGCATAAATAACACAATATTAGTTCACAGTTCACACATTTCAATATTTATTACTTTTATGCTCTGAATAAAGAGTAGTTTATTAATTGAAATGTTCTTGATAACAAATTATATATTTTCAAATTACATTAAAAATACTTTTTCCGTATTTGAACGTTTATCAATGGTTTGAAAATAACTATATACTTTAAGACTTCCAAGCTCTTACATTGAAAATATTGCCTACTGTGTCCAAAACTTGTAAAATTCCCACGTTAAAGATAATCTCTAAACTATTTCAGTATAATATCCTTATCATTATTTTATCAAGTAATTAAAATTACTTACAACGTTTTTCAACTGCAAAATTGTATTTAAGTAATATAAAACTGTATTAATATAATATTGTTGAATGTACATCGATTTTAATTATTTTTATAAAAATAAATAAATTAAATTTAAGTAAAGTTTAAAAATTTCATGAAATTAATTATTTTGAATATTTGATTCATGTGAAAAGCACATAAATGGTTCTTTGTCTTTAATGGTTGATAACCATAATATCTATATTATTTAAAACACATAACAATGATTCATTTACTTAATAATTATAAATATTAATAAGTACTTACAATCATCTTTTTCTGTAAATTAAATAAATATAGTAGTTTAAAACATAAATAATTATATATGTGATACATGTTGATGGATTATAATATAAATTATAAATATCAAACATTTTAAAATACATTTATAGTGAGGATAGTACTTTATCTTCCATCGCTATGTAGGTACCCAAAAACCAAATATGTACACAAATATACGTGAATTGGAAAAATTGTAAAAATGTAAATCAGTATTTACACACCCTAGTTCCTTACAAAAGATCCGAAACCCCAAATGATATAATATTTTACTGGTGAAAAACCTTGAATAAAAGGGTGTACACGTTAGCAAATAGGATGGGATATTTTGTCGTATTTGTTGTATACCTACGCATAACTTGATAAATTATATTAGATTTTACGTTTGTCATAATAAATACGGTTCTATTAAGTCTATACTCTTCAAGTTGTTCAAGTTAAGCAACTTAGTCAGCGGCAACCAGTTTTTGTCAGGTAGCAGTCGGGCCACACCAGACATCAGTTAGGTCCATAAAGTAAGCGGGAGAACGAAGAACACTAATTCCCGTTATACCACCAATTTTTAAGTGATAAATTAGTGTTTGAAGGATATACAAATATAAAAATTAATGCTTACCTCCAAACCAGAGTTATCGCTATCGCCATTTTTGAACATAGCGTGAGCATGAAAAGCACTCATTCCCGTTATATTGCTAACTTTTATTGCACAACTAGTGCTTAGTGCTATTAGAATGCACAAAAATAAAAATTAGTGCTCATTTATAGTTAGATGATAAGATGGACCACTAATTTTAGTTACCTATTTATATTCTGAAAGCACTAATTTAAGACTAAAATTTGGTGGTGAAGCCGGAATTAGTGCTTTTCATTTTCCTGGCTAACTTTAAGGGCCTACACCAGTTTATCAATCACACTAGGTACTAGGTATATATTATAATATACATAATTCTCGTTCAATAAAAATTATATTTTATTTATTGGCTATCACAAGTTTCAAACGGAAGTAGTGTCCATACAACATATTTTAAATAAAATCACTTACTTCTGCCGGGAACAACTTTTATAAAATTCAAATTAAATAATAATATTATAAATTAATGATTGTGAATATTAAAATTGTATTTATAATCATTTCATACAATTCAAGTCTTAACCCCATCACTGCATAAGATTAAAATAATAGCAATTTGAAAATAAGTTTCATAAAATTCATATCGTATTTCATTCTAAGACTGTTGTAGTAAACTCAACCTGGAGTATATTTTTGATGCTTAATTTAGATCCAGCCCAAGGTATTACCATTACAGATGGATACGCTAATAATAACTTCACTAATTTAACATACTCAATTAATAATACTAAGATGTCCATAAAGTTTCAATTCGAATTATTTTTAGCGTCATCATATTATTAATTACCCTACATAATAATATCATGTCGTATTTTATTCATCGGATACTAAAGGTTTGTACAAAGGTAGTCTTTAATAGATATTTAGACTAGATCAAATGATATTTTAATTTTTAAATAAAGCATATTTATTAAGAAAAAGAGCAGTTCATCTATTGTTGCAAATAATGATAGACACTTACGAGTTAAGTCATCTACAAAATACATTTAAAATATCATATTAAAAACATAACAATATTATAATCATGTAGGTACTAATGGGGAGTGATACTGTGACAGTACAGAAATTACAGTATATGTGCATCTTTACGAGAACACTACACTCTCATGCACTGTCTCTTTTACAAACCCGTAACAAGGAAAATTGTACGTTCTGAATAACCCATTTCACAGTTTTATATTGGAGCAAATTTAACAATGATCAAATTTAGAAGCAAGAATATTATTTAGTAAACCTCATAGATATTTTTAATATTTTAATTTAAAAGGAAGTTATAAATGTTTTTAAATTATAAATTATTTGTCCATTTTATGTTACTCATAACTTGCTTTAAAATTAAAATCTAAAAAAAACTGATAAGGTTCACTAGAAAATAATTTTTAAATAAATTCTAAATTTGATCATAAGTTAGTTATTGCATATGAGTATATGACACGATGTTGGCATACAGACGTAAGCAAAATTAAATTAAAATAATAATAATAATAGTAGTAATACAACATATTTTAATTTTAATCTTCTCTATACATAAAGCAAAGTTACTTAAGCAATAATCACGAAGAGTCAAACCTATTTGAGTTATCTAATTGACATTTTGAGGATGGATCCGCTAAGAAAGAATTTTTCAAAATTTGGATTTTAAAGGGTTGAAATCGTCAAAAATAAATTGTTCACGTACAAATTATATATCTATATACATATTTTACAGCACGGTGACCTGTGGGTTTCCATAGCGATATGCAACCATAACTTTTTGTCCATCTAACTATGTGTTTTATCGACGTGTAGATAAGAATTGTTCTGAGAAGCAAAATTCTACAATCTATCTTTATCTATTTATGTATATGAAAATAAATCCCTGTTTCCCTTAGCCGAGGCATCACTACGCTTATCAATTATCATTTAAAACAGATCCATCTATCTTCTATCTATGGATATAATACAGTTCATTTATAATGTCTAACGAAGTACAGTCGTAGTATCAACACCAGCAGATAGGGAATTAATATACAGCACTCCTCTCACCAGATAATACTTTAACTCTCTCTTATATTAAACACACCTGAATTAAACAAATTGTTAAAAACGTACAATTTTTTATGTTATGCGTTTGTAGGACACAGGCAACACATGCTGAACAATATATATTATTATTTTTTATATTTTTTTTTCGGTATCAAAATACAGTGTATGTATGTGCAATATATTCTACTCTGTATATATTATAATATTATAATATAGTCTTCACTCATTATGGTTATATTGAGGAGTTCCAAATATTATAATATAATATATTTGAAATATTCAGTTACGTTAAATATTTTACTAATTAACATACTTATTCTATTATATTCATAAAGGTAATTATCCGTAGCATGCTCATCTGAAAAAAAAATAATTTTAAAAATTAAAGATAAAAGCGATAAAGTTGATACCTAGAGAATCAATTTATCACTTTTCAAGAGTATTACAAAAGATTTGAGTACCTACTTACCGGTATTTCAATACTTTTCTTACAATCAAATACATTTAAATAATACTTTGTACCTCATAATCACTGAGGATGCTTAGTAAAATATTTATACAACAGTTGCTATTTGTATTTGTATTATTTGGATATAACTCAAAAACATTTCTGAGACTTTTAAGTGTTTGAAATACATTTTAAATGCTTGTGTTAAAAAACTAAGTACTCATGAACCATATTAGAGATTGATAATCAAAAGATATATACAGGGTGATCCAACAAGTATGCTCACCCCCTTTTTTTTTTTTAATAATGAAGTTTTTCAAAATCTGATTTTTGGAATCTTTAAATATACTCCAAGACCATATTTTCATGTTCTTGAGATATTTTTCTACCACTTAAGGAATGTCCTGTGGCAATACAAACTTTTGTTTTTCAAATGGGAACCCCACTTTTTTACTGTAAATTATTTAGTGGATAATTTTTTTGAGAATTTTGATGTATTGAAATCAAAATTCGAACGAGTAGTTCTCTAGTTATTACACATTTTGTGCTAAGGATAATATAGCTTATAATAGGGAAGAAGGATATGCTATGCAGTATACGTGGTTATCTATAGTCTATACACATAATATAAAATAATACGCAATTTTGTATTTATTTAGTCAAACACTTAGGAAAATAGCAAGTAAAATCCTTCTTGATTTATTGAGTTATTTTTCGTATTCAATGTGTAGAACTGTATAAGCATATCCCTATTATGGACTAATCTCTTAGTACAAATTGTCCAATAACTAGGGAATGGAAACCACAATTTCGAATTTTGATTTCGATACATCAAAATTCTCAAAAAAATTATTCGCTAAATAATTTAAAGAAAAAAAAGTGGGGTTCTCGTTTGAAAAACAAAGGTTCGTATCGCCATAGAACACTTTTTAAATGGCACAAAAATCTCAAGAATATGAAAATATGGTCTTTGAGTATATTTAATGATTCCAAAAAGCATATTTTGAAAAATTTCATTATTAAAGAAAAAGGGGGGTGAGCATACTTGTTGGATCATTCTGTATATGATTTATTGCATTCGTACATGCATGAAAATCAAAAATCAAAGAATAATAAAATTATTAGGTGTACTTACGTATATAACCGGCATCCCTTAAATCAGCTAAACATTTATTAAAGTAATAATTTTATATTGTATTCAACATCGTCATGACGCCATGTATAAATATATATACATAATGTATATATTAAATATAAGACGTGATAGTCGGTGCAATACTTATTATTTAGATTTATAATTGACAAAACAAGATAATAATAACAGACTTCTTAATAAATATAGGTACGTTATATATTGAATATGCTATTATTTTGTTGGGTATCGAAAACATGTTAAAAATTGATCTCAAGTCTGGAAATCTTGAAATATCAGTCGATAGACCCAATATAATTGTAATTTTACTTTTATCAATTCCTCAATTAGTCATTATATGATAAATGCTAAATTTTATTTTATAATACAAAATCGAAGTATCTAATAACTAAGAACAAACCAGTAGGTGCAAACATTAAGAAATTTTCTGATAATTTGAAAACAAAAAAAAATACAATAACTTCAAATTGCTTAAACCAATTTTAAAATGTATAAATTATATAACCTGCAGGTAATTTACAATATACGAATGATTTGTACAATGTATAATCTTACCTTGACAAACTGTGATGAAAAAAAACAAAAAATTTAAAAAATTTAATATTGAATATATGGAATATTATCAAATCGAACAAATCCTATTTGCATCGTTGTATGAAGAAGATCATAATATAATATTAGATACCTATTACTGTTGTACGTGTAATACGCCCATGTTTAATAAATTATTGAGTGCATAACACAATAATACAGAATTAATTTGTTTCAAATTTATTTTTAACTCTAGTTTCGATTGTAGACTCCACTAACGTACAACATAGAAAAATTTACTTTCAAAATAATCCATGTACTCGTAACTCTGATTTTTTTTTAAATTACTGAATTGCCCCGTTAAAATTGTAATGCAACTTTATTGTCTAGGGTGAAGTTGGTAGGTATTTTAAATTCTATGCAAGTTATGATTATTTTAAAACTCCAAAAAAAATGGATTCGTTTTGGGTATAGCCCCCATTCGCTGTATACCAATTGAGTCCCTATACCTGAAGGGAAAAAAAATTATATAATAATTGAGTCCCGGGTACAAACGGGATATATACTAGTTGAGTCCGGGGTTAGGAAACTAATAGTATACGAATTGAGTCCGAGGATGATTTTGAGTAAAATATAAAATCAACCGTCCGAGTCCAGACAAAGCGGAAATTGAGCCGCACAGCCGTGCCGGGCGTCAAAATGGATATACAATATACGTATATAATACTATATATACATTTCGTTCATATCATTTTTATGACTTTCGTCAGATAATATAGTAACATATTATTATACTATAATCCGGGAATTTTAAATTTTATTTCTATCGTCGCGCGTCGCTAGTATAATAATTACAGATATCTACTGATATTGTTCATATCAACTTGGAATTTTTTTTTATCATATTACACACTCTAGTCTACGAGGTACAACAAGCATCATGGATGAAGTTATACTAAGTGAAAGAAATAAAACTATATTTGTAATCAACGGATACAAATTTCGTTTTCACAAAAATTTAGCCAATAATCACCAACGCTGGACTTGTTGCAAAAATAACTGTAAGTCATTTTTTAAATTAAATGAATTTAATACTATAGTTGAGAAATCTATTAGTCATAACCATGAACAACCGAGTGAAAATTTAATAAATAGACAGAAAATTAGAAATAAATTAAAACGTAAAGCATTAGATGATCCAGTTGAGAGACCTTAAAAAATTATTCATCGAGAACTCAGAGAGAATGATACAGATACTTTAAATACCTATGACTTACAATTAATTCGAAAAAATATACATCGTGTTAGAACATCAATAATGCATAAATAACCTAAAACCTTATCAGAATTACATGCAGCTCTCATAGATTTTAACCCGAAGACAAACAAAGACGAGTCATTTATATTAATTAATGACGATACTAAAAGTATAATAATATTTTCATGTGTTACTAATTAAAAATTTTTAATTATGTGTGATACGATTTATATCGAAGGAACTTTTAAAAGCTGTACAATACAGTTTACTCAACTGTTTACTATCCACGGAATGAAAAATAATAATTACATACCTTTAGTATTTTGTTTACTTTTGGACAAAGCTTCAACCACGTATGAGGCTTCTTTTCAATTAATAATTACAGAATGTCAAAAACTTAATTTATGTTTTAATCCTAAAACTGTATTTTCTGATTTTGAAAAGGCAATTCATGTTGCCGTAAATAAAGTTTGGCCATCAACACGACTTAGGGGTGGTCGATTTTATTTGGGACAAGCATGGTTTAGAAAAATCCAATCATTGGGTCTAGTTGATGAATATAAAAATAAAAACTCCGAAATTGGTAAATATTTAAAAACTTTTTTTGGGCTTTCGTTTTTAAACCCACCAGATGTCAATGATTGTTTCACCGATGACTTAATTTCTATTTTACCTCAAGACTATCGAGTGGAATGTTTTACTGACTACATATTAGAAAATTACATAACTGAAAGCTCACAATATCCTCCGGAAATGTGGGCCTCATTTACATATTCATTGGCGAGGACCACTAACAGTTGTGAATCCTTTCATTCAAAAATTAATGCTATGTTGTATTCAGCCCATCCAAACATTTATCAATTTATAAACATTTTGTTGAATGTATAATGCGAAACGTATATAAAAATTAGAAGTATTCATATAATTAATACAAGAAATTCTATAAAAGATAAAGAAAAAGAAATTCAATATCAAATACAGCTGTTGCAATCAAACAAAATAAATAGATTTGAATATGTGCAATGCTTGTCCCATAAATTTTTACCAATATAAAGAATTATAAATTATTATCATTATCTATATTTATTAAATTATACACAATTAATTATTCATACTGTATTATACCCCTACATTATTATATGTTTATATTATAAAATATTTTTTAAAAAAAATATTTTTAACCACACCTGTAGAATTTTTTGCTACAGACAGTCCTAAGTCTGTAAAAATGGGAGGAAAATGTTTTTTTTTTTTTTTAATTTGACGGAACTCAGTTAGTATTAAAACATGGACTCAATTAGTATTATACTATTATACCTAAAATTTCACTGGACTCAATTGGTATATACTCTAAAACAACCCGGGACTCAATTCGTCAAAAAAGGTTATACTGGGACTCAGTTCGTGTGCAGCCAGCAATTAATGTAAAGAAAGTACAATTGTACAACATTAAGTACTAAATGTATTTGCGCCAAAATAAAAAAGGTATGTTTTTTCCGACAGCCCACTTGCTCCAAATTTACCTGGTATAATTATAATAAAGTAATATATTTTTTATTATATACAATTTTATTTAAATCAAAATTAATTATACGAATGCTTTTGAAATAATAATCAATAATAGCTGTATAATACACATTTTTTTGAAACAATAATCAGAATAAATACAAATTGGTTTTAAAAACTATGGGTAATAAATTATTACGAACTATTGTAATTTATAACATATAAACAATAATAGTTAATAGTACTTACGTATTTTTTACTTTAAGTTACAGACATGACGTTTTTAAAATATAAGAATTAACCTAGTCGTTAATTTAAAATGTTTACGTAGGTAAATTTGGCGCAAATGGGCTGTCTGAAAAAACATACCTTTTTTATTTTGGCGCAAATGGGCTGTACCCAAAACGAATTAATTTTTTTTGACGCAAATGGACGATGCCCAAATATGTTGTGCATTTGTGAAGTGAAACAACACATGCGGTGTGGCCTATTCTCAACATTAATTATTAATATCAAATTACTATTTATTAATAATGTTTTTAACCAATTGTAGTTGAGTCCGTATAATAATAAGCTGTTTTCATTAGAACTGTAGCATGTCCAAACTTAATAAATCAAATCGAAAAATGAAATTTTACATTTTCAACAGTTCGACATTATTGTGGATACAAATATATATTAATATGTATTTTATAATACAATGTTTTTCTTGAAGTATGATTGTGAATGGTGAAAAATTAACATAAATAACTAAGAAAGTTAGGGACTCAACATAATTTAGATCTTAGCTTCTGATTATTTATAGTAAACAATTAGTGCCAGATTTTTATATTATGTTGTATAGTAGCTATCATGATCTGCTACTGTTCGTAAAAAACGAACAACTATCAATATTTTTGATTTAATACACATTATTAAAATTACTTTTATTCACCGAGAAGTCAATGAAAGAAAACTTTTTTAATAAAATTAGATAGTTTAATGAACTTTAATAATTAGTACATAATTCAATAAGATACACTTAAATCAAATGATGTAATAATGAGTTTACCTTGAACACTGCACCAATTTCTTAGATATCCACATTTAATTTCAATATCTAAATCCGTAAAGTATATTATAAGCTTCAAATATAATAAGTAGGTACCATTCAAGTTTTTAATTTCAATTACGATGACCATTTCTTTTATCAATTCAACTATAAGTATACTTATACCATACTTTCCACAAATCCAAAATAGGTACATACATGGATTGCAGTATATTTTCTACAATGGACCTATTTAATATCATGTATACAATTTTTTTCAATTTAAAAATATGCGTCAACTACCAAGGTTATTGGCATTTCTGAAGAAATACTTTACATTTTATAACATCTAAAATACATTAGTACTAAAGGTGTATACAAAATATCTTAAAATGATACATTAAGGTTTAAGTCATTGAAAATACATGCGATATAATCTATGTGTTCTTACTATATTTTCTGAAATAAGTTCGTCTCTTTGAAGAGTTCGAGAAGGGTCGATGTTCTCTCTGTGTTGGGTCACAGTATTTGCAATAGATTGAAGGGGAGGATCAGTTAGTCTATGGAGTCTTTTATCAGGAGGCATTCGGTTAATAAGTGTTTTACAGTAGTTGTGGTGTTGCATGAGGTGCATTTACGTTGTTCCTTTTTGTTCCTTTTTGTTCATTAGAAGTTCGTGAGTGTATAATTGTGTGAGGTGTGACCGATTATCAATTTATTGATTATGGTTTGATGCCTGAGCAGGAAATACACTTCTTGAACCCCTGGGAAGGTGGTTGATTCACTAGATCACACCATACTTTTGTCATTCCATTCCACAATACTAACTAAAGTAGGAATGACCAAATGATTGGATTATGTGATTGGCAAATTAACACACTACTACTTTAAGTCTTTCATTTTATTAATTATATTTAGCTTAAATTTTGTATAATCTATCTTATGTTATTTATTGTGTCATACATTGGACCATTGGGCCATGCCCATTAAATGTCCGTTAATATATATAAGTAAAATAAAATAATAACTTACCACTGTCATGAGGGTTTACTATTTGATAAATGTCAGCTAAAATCAAAGTCAACAGTGTAATAATAACGAAAATAATGTGTAAATAAAAAGTTATTATGGCAGTAATAAGACAATATTTCAGTCTTCATTTAACACAATAATTATTATAATTTTTAAGTATACATTTTTAACACAAAATACCAAATTTTTCTTAAATTCCTAGTCTACCAATGCTTTAAATTAAAACAATTTCGAATACCTCTGAAACATGCCATTTGTTTTTATACTGTTATTCTAAAATAATCTTCAATTTTGGTGAGATTATTTTTTTTTTTTTACAAATTTTATTTTTAAACATCGAAAAAAATATTTAATAATACTTTGATTGTAAATATTAATTACTAAAACTAGACTGTATAATCTAAAAACGAATGAAATTTATATTTTAACTATGAATTCTCAAACAACATCTAAATCTTTACATTAGTATAATATTATCATTAATTTCGTCATTAATAGTATAAATATGTAAAATATAAATTAAAGTTTATGAACTCAACAAATACCGCCAAATCAAGATTTATGATTTTAGAAAAATACAGTTGGTACAATGTATGCAACAATGTCTACAACATTGGCATATTACACACGTCACATACACATTCGTATTTTAATTTAGAAACAATAAATATTCAAATTCAATTTACATTTTGACTAGGTATAGTTAAATCTAATAATGATGGTTGTTTCATATATTTGTACTCAAACGACCAAAATTCATAATATTTTATTAGAATTTAAACAGTTGTGGTTTCCGACACGGGTTGTTACAACCATTTATAGTATTTACCTAAGATAGTTTGGTTTTGAGTTCGTGGTTAATTAGTAGTGGTTATCATGAACATAATTTTTAATGATCGAAACATTCTTACAAATGACAAAAAAAACACGAAGTAGTCATTTTCAAAATTTTATTTTACTTTACAACATATTCATAGATTTGACTTTGACATAACAAAATAAGGAAATAATATAGGTAAACCTATGCCAGCAACAACACGGCTTTAGAAACAGCTTCGGGGACTGTCACAGGTGACATATGAATCTGATTTGTGATAGGGGGGGGGGGGTATATTATTTTTTCTGAAAAGCTTCAAATATTATGATTTTGGATTAAATTCATATGAAGTAGTAGATATTAAGTATAAAATATCTATTCTTTTTGTTTGGAGAGCAATAGCTGGGGACCAGGAGACTCCTGGATCCACGCCTGGACTGATGCATCTCTGCAGCACCCGGCTAGTGGAAACATTATTCGTAGTTAAGCTTTATTCCATTCAGCGTTAAACTATCCACAAATTGTAATATTAAATTAGGTATCTAATACATATATTATAATTGATACACCTGTTTTATCATAATATATTCAACCGGATCAGAAGAGGCAAACCAGACTTAAAGATGGTGTGGAGTGTGATGTAGTTGGTGGACATGGCAAGTATAATAAAGTGGATGACATGCCCAACATTTTTGTCACCCATATTTGTCTATTATCTGGGATTTAAGTATGATGATGACTCATTTGTGTTTTGGTCTGATTAAAAAAAATTAAATGAACGAGTACTATCTTGTGAACTTATAAATTATTAGAGCTTATGAGGGCACAATAATAATTTTAACAATACATATTCAGATTCAACCTTCGTCAAAAATATCATAGAAAATATTTTCTATAAAGTACACACTTGATCCTTTACGAATGCCTTCCAGGTATTGATAAAAGTCAAATACATATCCTACGGCAAATATGAAAAAAATATTATAATATTATTAAAATATCAAATAATTTAGTTTTTGTAGTGGATTTAATCAGATTTTTCTATCTTGATTTGTACATCACAGACTGTACAGAATGCTTTTAGTAAAAATCTAAGAGAAATCATGCTTTTCAGCTTTTGTTCAGTACAATTAGGCTATTTCAGCTTTAGCTAACTAGCAAAATCTAGTTTTACACAGTGATCGAGAATTTTCGACAACTTAGTAGAAACTCGATGTAATGCAATCCTCATAATATATTATTATACATTATATGTAACCCTAATAAAATAAATTCAAAAAGCTTAGATTAATATTCAGCTAAAATTAGATATTTTTATTGAAAAGTAACATGTAACTTAAGTTTACTATTTAGTATAATTTATTTATCTATGTAATTTGTGTATTGTATTTAATGTAGTAATGTTTTTTTTTTTTATTAATTCTGTAAGAAATTTTAACTTATCATGCTCGACGTTCAAAATGTATATTCTTTAAATTTTATTTGACTGTCAATTATTTTGTTAGACGTGGCATATTATAAAGATACGCATAATATGTTTTTATGTCTATATATTATAGGCCAAAATATTAAGTAACAATTACTACTAGTCACGGTCAATTCAAAATAAACTGACTTACCAGACGTTTGTCTTATGTCTAAGAATAAACAATTTTTTTAATCAATAATTAATCCCTCTTAACATCACATCCTCATTGAAATATATGTTATATAATCTATGAGCTCGTTAATTCTAAATCATAATAGATTCTTTTAAGCAATTTTTTTAAATTTTTTTTCTTTAAAGTTTTCTAGACAAAGTCTTTTAACTCATTGATTACAATATTGTTTATGAAATTTCTACATTAAGCTTTTATATCTATATTGAATATTAAACAATGCCATGATTCAATTACATTTTATTTAAGTATAGGTACCTATATTACTATTGTTATTTATTGTTAAATGCATGTTCCATTGTTCCTACATTAATAAATTATTATAATTGAAGGACAAATAACTTAAAATATTAGTATATTATATTTCAGTGGCGCTGAGTGAAATTGAAACTGGCAATTCAAATAATCAAACAATATGGTTGGTCCACCCATCCCTTCAAACGACTGTGAAAAGGGCCTAGGTAATTAATTATATATAAATGATAAATATATTATTATGATGACATTCCTATGTTTAATAAATTTATTGCAAAAAGACTCGGGAGTATTCTTATACTCTATTATTTTACCCACCCACCCAACCAAGTATACGTGTTTATCACCGTTCATGTGTTGTGATTTAATATATACATACTAAGTTTAAGCATGACTTCTTTAATATTCTCTTTAGCTGATACATCTAAAATAACATATATTGTATATTAGGCATATTATAATTTATAAGTTAAAACCAAAATTATGTGGCATGAGAAAATATGGACTCTTCTTAGTTATAGATACCATATAAATACTTAAGACTTCATTATATTTTAGATGAATTATATTTGTTCAAATAAAAAACAAAAATGTATTAAATACGTTTCACAGTCAATAGGTAGGTATATATTATAACATTATAATGTGTAATACAAATTACAATATATCTACCTAACTTGTAAATATAATACTACATGTTTCTATATTTTATAGTATTAACTATATATACCACATGAGTAACACAATCAGTTAATTACCCAAAAAACCAGCATTTATTAATGTTTCTGTTAAGAGTTGAAAAAAACAATTTTAATTTTCTAAAAAAATAGATAATTACCTAATTTTTAGATTTAACAAACTTTAATAATAGAAGAAAATAACAATGTAAAGCCTATAGTTTCCACTTAGGTACTATCATAATAAATTAATATAATATTTCTTACCGTAACAAGCTAAAATAAAAGGACAAAATTCAACTATTTCTGTAGGTGAATGTAAAGTTACATGATTTTAAATTTCATTAGGTAATTATTTCCACATTTTATAATGATAACTTGTGTATGTGAGTATGCCATGTATACGTCATTTGTCCGTTTAGCAATATAATTCAATAACAATTTTTTTTTAACTCTCAAAATATCAAATAAATGAAGTAAGTAGGTAACCACACTGCCGTACAGTAAGTTTCGAATGTACAACGTCATTGATTAAGTCACTTAGTCACTGTAATGTATGTGTTAAAATGTTAAATACTTAAGTTTGAATTCAATGATACCTAAATTAATGCAGACGAAAAATTATTCTGAGAGTAGAATGGTTTGACAGCCAATAATACTATTTAAATACATTTTATGATATATTTAAATTCAAATTACAGCAATTAGGTAGTAATACAATAGGTTTTTATTTACCGTTAATAGAGCAAAAACTTAATGCATGTACACTATGACCTAAAATATAAAAAAGTAATGGTATACACATTTTAATTAAAACCAATTGGATTTCATTTATATGTATTCAAAATAATTAGACAGTAACATTTTGATTAAGATGTTCACGTAGAATAAAAGGTATAGTATATATTTGATATAGTACATATAATATAAAATATTGGTATGTATAAGCCATAGATTAGGAACCATAGAGAGTAAGAATACACAGGGTGATTCACCAAGTATGCACACTCTCTTTTTTCTTCAATAATGCAGTTATTCAAAATCTGATTTTAAATTCTGAGCGGAGTTTTGAATGTACTTACTTTGCAATGATGTGTGTTTTTTTTTAGCGTGTATCTGTCACCACAGTTTAAGGCTTCGATTTTCTTCGACAACAACTTTTCTAATGGGAAAGTGAATCTAGTTGGTATACTCGGGAGGTTAACATTTCAAATTCCCAATTATTTCCAAAAGCGACAGGAAAAAAAACAAAAATTAAGGAAAAACTGGAATTTTTTACTCAAAACCAATTTCCTAAAAACTCAATTTTAGTTTTTAGTGTAACTCAAATAAATACTAGGTCCAATTTCACGTCAATTTTATATTTATATAAGACCAGTTTTAAGAACTGTTATCCTTAATAAAAACATTATAACAACTAAGAAACTAATGATTCGAATTTTAAATATAGTACATAAAAATTTTCAAAAAAAATCGAATTATTAATTTGCAGTAAAAGAGTGGGGGCTCTCATTTGAAAAACAGAAATTTGTACCACCGCAGGACACTCCTAAAGTAGTACAAAAAAATCACGAATTTGAAAACATGATCTTTGAGTATATTTAAAAAATCTGAATAAATGCATTATTTAAGGAAAAAACGTGGATGAACATGCTTGGTGAATCACCCTGTATAGAGGGTCATATTGTAGCTATTCTTTCCAATATTTTTGACATGGGTACGAAAAATTTAGGTCGCCAGAGGGACCACTACGTAATATAAAATTATCCAACACAATTATTTTTTTCAAAATCAGTTATTATAATTATCTTTTGATGATAATAAACTAATACATATTAAAAATAATGCCCATGAAAATGAGTAGGTAGCTGTAGGGCCGTGTCGAATGGGGTTTCTAGGGGGTGTTCCCCTAAGCGTACAATATGTATACGTCAGTACTCAGTTGGCACATTATTGTTACATTCAGTATTTGAGTTGGCACTCGGCAAATTATAATTTTTTTTAAAAGTTTTTAAATCATTTTGTAAATACTACAAAGTACGAATATTTCATAATAATATATTGTAATATATAAAAATATGAAGGAATATATTAAGTTAATTTTCCGATTTACAACTGTTCAACACAAATACTATAATAATATTTAAGTATCTGACAATGTACTTATTATATAATTATTTAACAGTATACAAATGTGTCTATTCATTCGTATAATCATTGAATTGTTTTTAATAATACTTTTTGATAACTTATGAGAAACTGTTGTGAGCTGACGACTTTAATTTTAATTTATAGAAGTAATGCGAACATTTGAAATTTACTTGTCACACCTAGACATCAACGAAGTGATACGATTCTAAAATTGTTTCACTTATATTATATAGTCAGTATTGACAGTATTTACTACTCAACTAATATTGTTATTGAATATTTGGTTATTTTGAAATTTGTATCATTATTCATTCCAATCATTCCATAGTAGTATAATCAATATGCAACAGTGTTATAAGTTTTGTTATTGAAAATATTTTATTCTAATTTCTAATACACTAGTCTAGATGTGATGAAAAAATATACATATAAAATAGTAAAATAGAGAGCATAATAAAATATTTATTATTTTGTAGTACCTATGGTGTAAAATATGTCTACTATGCCATGTAGGTAGGAGATAGTTGTCGAATGATGCGAGAAAATTTTTTTAAGTTGGCACATTAATGCATCTCAATCCCCCCTTATTATTTCGTTCGGAACAGCCCTGGGTAGGTTCCCAAAAAGTAATCTGTTCACTGTTGTAGCATGTTTGTAGTATTTAGTGGTAGTTCTTTGAAATACTATTTTCCGAGATTTATTATCCGCATACAAACTTAATAATACTAGTAATATTGCTGACAATTTGTTTATAATTTGGTCACTATGTATCTTCTACATTTCCTTGCTTCACTTGCTTCAACTTGTAGCCACCACTTGGTATAACCCAAGATTTAAGTTACTCAGGTTACTCAACTCATTATTATTTTTGATGCCCTGTGTTTATAAACGATTACAGCCTGAAAGAATTGCAACTAGCACCTAAGCAAAAATTAATATTGTTAAGCCGTTTATATTTCCATGATACGAGTAGATATTATATTTTTCTTATTTCGATTCATATAAATTATGTACACTGATAGCGCTAGTTGTACTTCTCCCTATGGTGGATAGCTGATTTTTGGAGATTAACTGAGAGGGTCAATTTGGAGATCCATTTGACATTTTTATACAACGTTGAGTAATCTGTATGTCATAAATCGTCATGTAAACCTACAATGATAATCAGAGAAAGTACTTTTTAAATAATACTCACGGTTTTCGTCCATGATGACTTTTTTGTATATTTTCCTAAATCCTAAAATACAAAATTCAATTGAACCCTTTAGTTGAAATATCTCACACTATAGTGTCTATGCTTAATCTACGTTGACATTCTTATACTATTTATTCTATTTAAAATTGTAAAACGCCTAATTTTGATCTGAATTGCAAAGGTCGTAAGTCCAAAATGGTATATTTTACGGGGGAAGAAAAAACTTTTCGACCATTTCGTCTGCCTAATTCATAACCATAATTTATTACAATAATAATATGGAGAAATGACTTTTTCTATGTCTTAAATAAGTAATAACATAAATTGGAGATAGGACAATTTCTAATCATCAAATTCATGGGGGATACAATTATACAGTTTTAGTTACGACAATATCAGACGATGCGGTCATTTTTTTTTAATCACAAATAATCCTAAAATCTAAAAAGTTGAGTTACGACTTTTGTGATTTAGGCCAAAGAATCATTCAATGGCAATTGGCAACATAGGTTTCATAATAAATCTCTGTCATGTTTGTCTCCCAAAACTACCCGATCTATTCGAAAATTAGTTTTTGGATTTGGCAAACATGTCATTAAAATACTATAATCTTTGTTTGGGTCCTCAAACTTCACACAGCTTCCCCTCCTCAAAATCAAAAAATGTGCCAATGTTTTGCATATTGATTACAAAAAGGAGGACAAGTGATGGGTAGCACTAAATATGAGCTTTTAAACGTCCATAATATTTTCCAACTTCTATTGTAACTACTTATGAATAACCTTGTATCAGCCTTGTATCAGCCTTGTAAAGCTATCAAGTTTTTTGACTCAATGACAAAAAATTTTACCGACATTTAAAGAACACACCCAAACAAATTTTAAATTAAAAATATCAACAAATAGCTCACAACTAGCGAACAAAAAAATAGCTATAAAATCTTCACATTTTGATAGGTTATTTTCAGGTATTGAAAGGGCCTAACCAACTAACCTTTCAAATCAATAAATAAATCTGATGGTGCAAATACACTATGTCGAAAATGTAAAAATAAAACACACAATTTCCTATGCTGTATTCAATGGAGATTTCAAATTTCACAATCACACATCAACAGCTTATAAATTGGAATATTAATTTGCTGTTCTAGTTGCACGGCCTCAACACTTGCTAATAATTTACTTTTTTTAATGTTGTGTTTAAGTAGACTTGCCAACGCAATTTGAATAAAAAAACATATGGGTACAATTTAATAAGCCCTTAAGTTACTAGGAACAATAATTTCCAAAATGTCCAAACACAAAGTGTTAAATATTTGAAAGACAATTCGGTGATGAGTGATATAAATAATAATTAAATATTAATATACTATGCAACTATTTATACTAATAACTTACCACGTTTAACTTCTGCAAGTCCATATAATTAAAATTAAATCAATTATATCGAAGTATATCAAGAAAACATTTGGAAATAATTAAATATTATAATCTATGTATAAGTAGTTATGAATTTAAACTTAAAAGACTATGTATCCATATAGGTAATACTGTTAATTTTCCAAAGATCCAGGATATATTATTGTATATGTTATTTTTCTTCTCTTTGTGGATTCTGGGCATTTAAACGACTCCTTTGAAAAAAATGTTTAGGCTACTTTTTATATCATTTTTTCACCATTTGGTTCCATTTCAGTGACATCCTTTTTTATACGGTATGCCACCTTAAGCGTAGTATACGAAACGATTCTTTTTTTAATTTCCAATCGAAATTTACTTTATTAATTTTTAATAAAATATTTGATAACATATATTAGAATAAAAATATATATATAATATAATATATTTTACTGCCGATCATATTCTTGATATTATATAATAAATCACAAATTTGATTATTATTTATTCGTTATAGTAACTGAAGACCGGATTTTGCATAAAATTCATGTTGTTATTTTCAATATTATATACATGCCGTCAATGAGTATTCATAAACCATTATTTGATTGATTAAATATCAACATTTTATAACGAATATTTTTGCATATTCCGACGTTAGGGCAGGGTCTGCATATTTTTGAGTATTAAAACAAAAAAAGTGTATACATTTACACCTAATTGGTAAAAGAGTATTGAGTGAAAAAAAGATTATAGTTACGTTTATACCATTATCAAATATTTCACTTTTCAAAGAATTAAATTTGTTGTACGTACTAAAATTGTATTTGCTTAGTTCGCAATGTATTAATGATCAAAAATAAAATACAATTTAATAAATTAAAAGTTTTGTATTGCATATCTGCTCAGACAGTGCGCTATGTTTTACAATTTTTTTTTTATTGAACTTAAGCCCGGCGACTAAGGCTATTAACTGTTGTAGAGGTTATGAACTGTGTTAGGAGTAAGGTTGATACGGTAGGTTTTGGAACTGTAGAGGTTAGGGAACACACGTGTGTTATTTTTGCCAGAATTTCTAGTGGGCACCCGTAGGTTTCTGGCATGCCCGGGTGGGGGGTGGCGGCCACTCTCTCCAGACACCGTGACTGCCCCGAGAGAAGTTGCTGCCCGTGACCGAGGTTCGCACCGGTGACTGTGCGCGTTGCAACCGATACGTTATCCACTCGGCCACTTCGTCCTCCTATTTACTTTTTGCTTATAAACATTTTAATAAAACTAAAAATAATTAACACCGCAAAATTAAAATTAAATATACAATTTTATAAAAACTGAAATTGTACTATGCATGTTAAAAAAAAATTTCTCACATATCTTAACTACTTTAGTATATGTTTGCATGCATATTTTAAAATATTTAAAATTCATATAAATCCGGCCTTTACACTAATAACAACATGTTATTTTGATAATTATAATTCTAATCGTACTTGTATCGTTTCCAGGAATCCGTAAATTTATATAACTGTCGTTACAACAGTTGAGCGGAAACAGTAGCTCATCTCCCCCTTAGACATAATATATTATTATATTATGTATTATGTCTATGATATTGCCATTGCTCATCTACCTCTTACTACGCATTTTAATTTATATACAACATTATACACTCTATATAAACCATAGGATATATTTTTAAAACATAATAATTTGTAAAATGATTAATTCCTGTTCATAAGTATTATTATTTTTTTAATAGACGTACGGCGTATAAAACTCCCTATTACCATATTATACAGTTATGTTATGATAAGTTGGGCATAGTTCTATTTTATTGTATTCGACTGACGCTCGTTATTGTATCAGCTTTATAAAAATATTTTGATGCTTGCTAATGCATTTTTTTTTACAATCCTATACACTTCATTAATTTTGTTCATTGCGGTGAGTGTGACACTTTAATCAATGAAATATTTTCGATCTTTTTTATGTATATTAGCATAATCAATCTATACAACATCTAACAATAAATTATATTCTATTAACTTACTATCATGTATATCTGGAATAATTGTTATATTATTAATTATTATATGTTGTTTACGAAGTGTTTTTTCTCCATGTTCAAAACATAGCTTGATTTCCAGTAGATAATGGAAATAAGACAGAAATTCTTTCAATTATCCTCACACATCTAAAGCAAATTTATTGGTTCCTTAACTGCGTACTTTTCACTAGGAATATGGTTGTCAGTCCTGCACTCATCACCCATCCTTGAGGATTAGACAATTCCAACCTACTAAAGTCAACGTAGGGCTACACCGCGCCGATACTACCAAGCCACATTTAGCGATGGAGACGCTACATTTGCTAAACATAATATGCATTCAATCTAATGGTTGTCGCATCCATAACTAATTAAGAAGCCCCATTTCGATGTTAAATACGTATGTTATGTACGGAGTTGCCCGATTGCGGCACGTCCAAACACACATTGGTTCACAAAATGGCTTATAATTAAGAAAATTAAGCTTAATTGAATGAACATGAATTTGGCTTATTAAAATTTTTCTATTGAATCTTTTAACAAAACTTTTACAATTTTTATTTATACAACACCATTTTTCTATTTCATTTGCTGGTAACTTATGAAATCGAAATTCATATTACGAATAAATTTATAATATGTTCCACCACTTGCAATCTTACATTTTATCTGATTTTTTTTATCTTTAATGGACTGGAAATTACCACGCTGAATATTGGTGATCGTGGGAATCGTGAATACGATAGTTATATATTTATGTCAAAATACGTATCGGGCGCAATCGTTATATTTATTTAGTTTTGATAACCACTGAGTAGGTAGTTTCCTAGTTTCCAACCTAATGTGTACGGGCCGCAATTGGGATAGATGAAAAGGTAAAAACTAAAAAGGTTACTTTGGGCGATAATCGGGCGATTATTATGTAATATGTTGTGTATTCTCATTGATATATATTTCATTTAAAATAGTACATAGTTATACTTAGATGCCATAAGTTTCCAATGTTTTACTTTGGTATAGATACTTACCTCTCTTTGAATAATTAAATAATTCTGGAATAATTGTTGTATAAAAATTAAAGTACTATCATACCATAATATTATTTGAGTACAAAGCTACAGACTAATACTGTCAAAAACGTCAACAGAACAAAAATTAAGTGTTTTTAATGTATTTATCATATTATCTGTTATAAAGTTGTAGGTAATGATTTTTCGAACGAAAATCTGAAAAATGTTTTATCATACTCATGTATTTTGCAGATTTAAGCATACATCTCCAACAACAATGTAAAATTAGGTTAGGTACAGAACGCCGAATCCCACTAAGCTGAATACTAAAAAGCCGACTCCATTTGGCTGAATTCATACTGCCGACATGATTAAGTGCCAAACTTTCAATACTGATCAAAAAATAAATTATTTATTTATTTATAAGTTTAATGTATATGTATGAAGTATAATAGTTATAATAATTAAATAATGTGTTAGTGATGGTCATATATAAATGTTGATTGTAAAATAAACAACTGTATTCAGCACCTCTATTAAGAAAATAATAATAACAGAAATATTTTGAAAAAATTGCTTATTGTATAGGAAATCAATAATATTTTTTTTTCTCTACTTGACTTTGAAAGTAAGAGTTTCCTTCTAAAAATATTTATCTCGTTGCTTCTACTGAAGGTATGTAAGAGCAAAAATTAATTGGAATTGCAAAATTCAATGTGAATGTCTTGAATAATTTGAGATGGTTTTTTCAGAGTTGATCCACCTTTATCGTTCATATTTTCAACAACTGTTTCCACAATTAAACGGTTTGTCTGTGATGCGTGTGATCATGTATATAGGAACTTAACGTCGAATCATATGTTTCTCATTCGTCATAAATGTAACCATTCAAGACTTACAACAGAGAGAGTCCAGGTTTTGGTGGCTTTCGCCTACGTTCGTATACCTCACCTTAGCCTATGGCTATACGTCTATTCAATGGATACGTACGATTACGGTCGGATTTTACCCCTCCCGCATGTCTTCAATGTATGGAACACGAGCACCGGCCTGTGACCGTACCCGATTTGAAATTAGCTTTTCGGGGCTTCTTTCCCGTTGGGTCATCGGTTTTGTACTATCCAGCGATTACTCATACCACAGACACTACGTTTCAGCCGAGGTAGGCACCTCAACCTTGAGGGGCACTGTCCCTGGCACGGCGAGCCGTGTCAGCTACAGTGGGGCTCCCCTCTCCCGTAGTACCAACTTGGTTTTATCGTTGGTGTCAGATGAACCAACCCGAGGTGATAGTTGACCTATCGTCTCTACCACTATTCTAGATCCGAAAAACCGGCTAGTGGGCGGCCTCAAGACTTACAACAGTCTGAATCTATTTTATCTTTTTTATGAATACGTTTTTCAAATTTCCATTAAAACACATTTTGCTTATTTTTTTACTATGGTATATTCATTAAAAAATAGTTTTTTCCAATTTAAATTTGTTCCATTAAAAAAAAAAAAACCATAGTTTAATTCACGTACACAATTACACGTGAGACACAACTTTAGATATTCGAGAAAGACACTTCACAACTAATATCATAAATTCATCGCCTCACCAAGCAAATATAAATTGAGGTCAGATACTTATCCCTAATTACGAAAATAACGAACCACATTTTATACAACCATTATTACTAATTTGAAATATAGATACGTTTTTTATTGTTTCCAAATTTCAATGACATCATCAATATTTATTTAAAACAAATTATAATATTCTGAAAATTCCAAGCGTATTTTATGAGGTATAAAGTTTATTACTATCTAATTCAAAAACTTACCACCATAACAAACTAGATTGTAAAAAAAAAAATAGACAAACAATGATATAATATATTGATATATGTATATTACATATTTATGAATAAATGGATATTTTTATTTAAAAAATATACAAATTGTAAATTAAATTAACTACTGTATGCGTTTCAGATATCTCCAATATAAACCATATTTTTAATTACAATTATTAGAGCAAGTTCATCTCTCCTAAACAATATAAAAAATTAATCTACTCTGCTTGATAATCTCAAAAATTAAAATATTACAAACACTAAACAATACATAAGTACCACTGTAAAACCGTTTTTATCCTTCCTAACATTATAAAAACTAAAATTGAAAACATAAACATCGAAAAACCACTCTCTAAAATGATATAATTATCAGTATAAAAACCAAAAATCATCAAAGTTTTGTGAACAAATAAAAAAATACTGAAAATGTAATGAAAGTTATTAAAAAAACCAAAAATATTACTGACACAATAATACTTTATAAATTATAGGCATTTAAAGTTAAAATGTTGATGAAATTTTGTATTTAAAAGAAATATTTCAAGTTGTTCTCTTACAACTTAAGTTATAACATATTTGGTTATACAACAAATAAGCTCTAAATATTGTTCTGCTGTACATAAGCTGTTGAGTGAACCTCGTCATTAAGTAAATCACTGTAAAAGTAAGATAGCCGAGTGTATGAAAAAAGAAACAGCAGCCGATGTTTTGGTGGGGGGGAGAGTGTCGGCGGAGACGGTGACCCGATTATTTTGAAAAATACTTTTAACCAAATTGTAAGTTGATAATTTAAGCATTTTTCTACTAATAAGAAAAAAACGTACACACACCAATATAAAATCAATACATTAGTCGGTCCAGTTTAAATTTAAAATTATTAAACTATTTGTCGAATTTATTTTCAATAGTTTCACCCTATGAATACATTCAAGCTAAAATATATTTTCGTCAAATACTCAAACTTGTGGTATAAATCTACTTGGCATCAAATGTCTCAAAACCATTTATCACATTAAAATATTTAATAAATTATTTAGTTCAATTTTAATTTACATATTAATTTACTAAATGTGTTTATTGTATTAATCAGTTTAAATATTTTTTATTTATTATACGCATCATAAATAAAAATAAAAATGATTCATGGTTAATTGTGTTTATAATTTTTAATTTAAAATTCCTGATTTTTGAGGGGTGGTAGATTATTTTAACAATATAAAAATAGGACGTTCACGAACAATAAAGTTTGAGATCCACTCTCTTTAAGTATTCATAAATTATACAATAATAATTCTATACATATCGACTTAAAGAAGACAAATATAAGCATAGTTATCAGTAGACAGCTTATAGAATCCCACCATATCTACAACCAAATTCATAAGAGAGAAACTTGCACAAAAAAAAAAATCCTTAGCGAGAAGTATAACAAACGTTCGACATTATCTTTCAAAAATATGTTTATCTTCATATAACATACATATTTTTTATTTAAAATCACTAAATTAAACTTAAATAAAAGTTGAAACACTAAAAGCTAACAAACAAGTAGCACAATGTTTAAATTGTCTAAACTGCGATTGCGTGCTAGATCTTACTGTCACAATCATCCCAGATGTGTTTGATGTGTCAAAAACCACAGCTCTTTATTGGTATGGGTTACATACAAATAAAGCCGCGAGACTGCTGTCAAATTTTCCATCTGCAATGTTGGTCAACCCTCAAATAACCGTGTCAAAATCGCAACCAATCACCACATGTCATTTTAAAAACAAAACTGTAAATTAATAAATAAACTAAATCCTGATACCATTGGCATACCAACAAAATTTGAGAAGCTCAATTAATTTAAATAATAATATTTTTGATATAGACTGCCAAAACCCCAACACTCAACCAACACTAACAACATACGGACAATTTATCAACCAATTCATCTTATTTCTGACAAGTATCGTTGAGATGTTAATTTTTAAAAAAATATTAACTAACTGAAATACCATCTTTCCTATATAAATATTATTATTCAAAGTAAATGGATTAAGCAAAAATAAATGTCGATCTTTAATATGGGATAAAACAAATTGACATTGCATTAATTACAGAAACCCATTTAACACCGGAAAAAAGGATAAATTAAAAACCAAATTGAGGTGCTGTTTGTATAGATTGTAAATATTTTTAAGACTAAAAAATACTGAATTTAATCCGATGAAAAATGAATGCTGCCCACGAAAATAATGTATAACAAAATACTATGACAAACTTATAATTTAAAATTTTTATCTTATAAAATATCTTAATATTCCAAACATCGCACTTTGAAGTTTGAATGTATATGACTAATAAATTATAATGGTTAAGACTTAATCGCTTGACATACACTGTAAAAGTATGAAATATGCTAAATTCAAAGTTTCTATAGCCGTAAAAGTAATGTTAAATCGCTCTAGTCCTTATTTAGTTCAATGACGCAGTTAATGTTCAGACAAATATTAATAAATCATGAAATCATAAAAGTCCTTTATTTATTGTGATGCGAGTAACAAGATACTAGTTTTAAATTATAAGCATCATATTGAAAATAGTTATATATTTACGTTGAATACTAAAATAATCATATTACAATTTAAAAGACATGAAAATTATAACTAATGCGTTATTTACCATCAATACTACGATAAACAATAGTCTGTTCTTGTTTTGATAAACCTATAGAAAAAATTAAACGTGTGATTAGTATCGGTATAATATATTATTAGAAATACTTATTTAATCTATTTAATAGATATTTATTTCAAGTGATTGTTACTTTCAGATATTATACTATTTAGGAGTATATAGTATGTATACAATTATAATGTATATAATTATATATATAATGTTACCGGAAAAGATGACAATTCAGGAACTGCCGGTATATCCTAGCCATTGTTGACAATGACTGGAAACGTTTGGCAATGCTTCGTAGTTTTTTCAACATTTCCGTATTATATTAGGCAATGTTGAAACAAATATCGGGGATATCCCGAGTGCGATTTCACGACAATGGAGCGCAGACAATTGAGCGCACAACAATTGAGCGTTACGAAAATTAAGAGCTGAGACAATTAAGCGCAATGTAAATCTTAGGTTAAGTAATAGTTTTAAAAAATAAAAACAAAAAATTGTTTGGTTAATAATGCATATTACAAGCATACAAATACATATACAAATTAAAACATTAAATATTTTGAGCAATGCCTTTTAAATACTGTTCAGTTGACCTTAAATTAAATTGTTCACAAATATTTTCTATTCTTAATCCTGAATCATTGTATTTTTTTTTGGTTTTTGGATCATTACTTGCAATAAACTGGTGAATTCTCACGCGATTCAACTTTTCCTCTTTTTTTAAAGCGTCGATAAATTTCCAAATTGATGGATGAACTGCATTTAAAATTGATTTAAATGAATTATGCCATCCTTCAATGGCATTGTTGGTCCTTGGTATGTCATCTTTAATCAAACCATAACAGTTCCATAATTTTATTGGAAACTTTGGGGATCTTCGTTGCCTGTTAAGACTAATACGACCTATCCATGTGTCTTCAAAATAGTCTAAGAGAGGTGTCAATATTGTTTCATATTCTTTATAAAAATCAGTTTGTAATAGGTCTTCGAATGCAGTAATAACAGATTCTGGTGGAACATATGCTAATGCTTTTAACATTTTAATATTTAATGCAAACTCGAAATTTTCACGGTATTTTACGGAAAATCCCGTATTTTGAATATGTCTCCATATAGATTGACAAAAGTTGAAAAAACATCCATTTATTTTGTATTATAAAGCGCTCATGTGTCTCAGCGCTCAATTGTCGGGACACTCCCGAGTGCGTCCCATTTGTCCTCACTCCTCATCCGAAGCTTGATGTAAACTCTTCAGAATCCAATTGGACAAAGCAATTTCAAGATTATAAATACTAATGATATGTATTATATTATTGTATTAGTTATTGCAGTAATATTATCCTAGTTCAGAGTTCTATATTATTATGTTTTGAAAAAAGGAAGTACTTTTAATTTTGTTTTATTTTAATTTATTCTAAAGGTAGCTTTAATAGATACAAGCTAAATAACAGTTCTATTTTTATTTTATTTTTTATTTTTATAAAATAAGACATAGGTACGTCACATTATGTTATTTTAATTTAATTTAGGTATTTGTTTTTTATATTTCGATATATTTTATACTTTAATACGGCTTTTATTTAAAAAAAATATGTTATCATACTTTTTTCAATACAATACAATTTGTATGGTGTATACTATATCAAATGTTTGGAATTATTTTTAATGTTAAATTTTGTACCATGGTTTTTTTTCTGCCGAACGTCACAATAACTACCATAAATGGCATTTTTAATCAATGATAATAGTATTTTATGGCCATAAAAATATCAACTAGATTATTAATATATTTTAGATGGTAGATTACAAACACTTATTTAAAGTACTTATATTATAAATAAAATAATACATTCGTACATGTAACATGTGGTTCCTATTATAACAGGAAATGCGTTATTTTGTTTAGGTACCTACATATGTTCTATGTTCATAAGCGACATAAGCATCCGTTGAGCGTAACTGAATACTATAGTATAGGCAGTATTAAAATTTAAAATTTAAAATTTATAATAATATGGCTTATATAAGTAACTGATTCATATTTCTAATATACTTACCTAAATGTTACAGCTAATTTCTCCGCTGCTGAAATTGGCTCTTTAACTCGATTGCACGGATTTGATTTTATGTCGTCTTCGATTAAATTTAAAACATAATTAAATTGCTCACAACTGAATCTAAAAAATTCACGGAATTTTTTTTCATCCCTAAACAAATGTTTCTCGATTAAAACACTAAAAAATCTTTCTTCTCTTCTTTTTTTAAACACATCATGCACTTTTTTGATGAAATTTGATCAATTAGCATTTCTTCTTCTTCGATTTTTTTCCAATAACATATTTATCAAAAAGTTTTTCTTTTGATAACACAACATGATCGAAAATGACAAAATCAATTGTGATCAATGCAACGTACAAATATATAATAAATAATAAATCATTGGATATGAAATCTAGAAATCATACGCCGCGCATCTCTTGCAGTGCGTTTTGTAGTTGTTGGGAATCAATAGGCGGCCGCGCGGCCAAAATTAGAATCGCGCCGCGTCAGCCGCACCGGTCGCGGGTCTCTAGACACGTCCTTAGGAATCACACCTTTACCTTCTTCATAGCCCAAGTGCGTCCTCGGTCCAAAGTCCTATAGTTTTCCTATTTCTATGTGGGCTGAAATGAGAAGTAGTTCTGAAAGGACAACAAATGCTTGTGAAAGCTTTCATTCCAAGTACAATTCGTTATTTTATATACCTCACCCAGATATATATACATTTTTGGAAATATTAAAAAAAGTTCAAATTGACACTGAAATAGCAATCCGAACGGCCTAACAAACAACTAGAAAACCAAAAGGAAGTACGAGCAAGAAAATTACATACATCGAAGACAATATAAATCAATTTAAAAATAATAAAATATCAAAATAACATTTTGTCAAAAGAATGGCATTTAAACACCAGCCTATATATATATATATATAATAATAACAAAACATTTTTTAATAAACTGTACGCTCACCCAAACTTAAAGGTGTAAACTAAAATAAATTAATAATAATAAATGGGGTGTAAGCTAGTTAGTTCACTTCCTCGTGGTGCACCCCGGGTATTCTAAATTAACTGGGACGCATTCGGGCTATAAAAAAATATGGCCTTTTTTCCTTGGGACACACTCGAAATACTCGGATGATACCTTATTCTGGACACACTAGGAATATTACAGAAGGGTAATTTCGGGACGCTCATGGGTAACCCGCTAAATATTGGGGTTTTATCGATTCCGCCGTTTTAATATCAATTCCGCCGAGCTTTTTTATTTATTGATTCCACTGACTATCAATTTCAGAGGATATTTGTTTATGTTGATTCCACTGACTGTATTTTTTTTAATCAATAGTAAAGGTATAAGATACACTCAGTTACCATAATTTTTTTTAAATTTAAATTTAAACATTTCAAAAAAAAAATTCAAACATTTTCGTAAGTAAAATTTATTAAAATAGTAAAATAATATGTTTTACAATTTATTTAGTGAACCCCAAAAAATCAAAAATAATTTAGTAAAAATAAAATAAATAATAGTAAATAATAATTAAAATATAATAATAATATTAATTGATTTATTTTTCAGAATAGTGCTTTGATGACAGTTTTATATACTTAAATCTATCAACTTTTTTATTTAAATAGTCTTCAAAAATTGTTTCTATATATTTTTTTTTTTCATAATTTTTATTTTTACTTATTTTATTATTATCAAGACCTCTTATTATTATTATATATTTATTAGTTTGAATTTTTAAATTTAGTACATGCGAAAACAAAAATATATTAGGATATGCTTTGTTAAATTGAGTATAAAGTTTCGAATGAGACGATTCGCAACTGTTTGTAGTTCGTTCGAAAGAAATTAAAGAAGATGCCCACATTTTTTGATTGAATTTTGATGTTTCATCAATAAAATGATCACATAATATTATATAATCGCAGAATTTTTTTAACCTTGGGTCATCAGAAACGACTGACATGAAATCTTCATTGAAGCTTTCACTTACTTCTTCTGCATTTAATAATAGTCTTTTATATTTTGTTTTTATTAAAATAAATAATTTATAAATATTAACCGGCGGCATCAATAAATAAAAAACTTCGGCGGAGTAGATAGCCGGCGGAATCAATAGATTTTTTACAGTTAAAAAGATAATTTCGGCACAATCGATATACGCCCTAAATATCAACACCGCTTTATCGGTGATCGATCTGATTATAGAACATAGTCATCTATTCTATTAGTGTACATGGTAAACCCGGTTTTTTGTTATCATTTGTATTGCGTATAAGTTATAAGTTATAAGCTTATAACTTATAATACTATTGTCAAATGAAAAATTATCGCACTATGAGCTGGTATCGTTATGGACACATCCCACAAGTGACTGCACAGTACTGTTTGTACATTGAAATAGTGGATAGCATCGTGTAACAAAATTGTGTTTAAAAATCGGTTTGTTATAATTACAAAGATTAAGATTACGATTTATCCTAAATAGCTAATAAGTATATTATTCGATTTTCAAATTAATTTTAGTGTTAACATCAATGCCTTCTTTTATTCGGAATTGTCATCAATGACTAGTTATTGACCTTAATTCCTTATTATAAATCAGGCATTATCGTTATTGACTAGTCATTTCAACACTGATTGAATGTCATCTTTTCCGGTAACATTAAATCATAAAGCTGTGATGCCTAACATTCCAAAGACTTAACAAAACTAAACAGTTATTCCTATAATAATTCCCCCCTCCTATTGTTCCATAAAGCCCCTTATTTGAGTCTTTGGCACTACTTTCACTATTAATTTAAATGTATTATTACTTATAACACTCCCAATCTACCATTGAAAACTCCTGGTCACGCCACTACCTACTACTATCAACAATTATTCATTAAAATAATAAATTCATTACATTATTTGTATTAACCTGTATTGTTTGCTATGCGTTGTAAATATTTCCTATAAGGCTCATTATCTAAAAAATAATAAACACAGGTATTAATACAAATAAATACATAGCAAAGAAAGATGGACCACTAGATAGATAAATAAATTATATAATAACACTCATTCATGCAGAATATAAAAAATCAATTTGGACTGTATAGAACTTTAACAGAGCAATTCAATCTATTTGATGATAACGCTGATTAGGTACAGTTAAGTAAATATTAAATGCACGTGATTTCGTTGTTAATCATAATTCATTATATCATAGTATGATATTGTTTGCATTATAATTTACAATGAATACCCAACTACGAATATTGGTTCTTACCATTAACCAACTAACACTACATTAACATTTAACAAACAACGTTCGTCTATCAAATATTTAATATGTATAAGAAATATAATTAAGAACACTTATTAAAAAATTAAAAAATTACATAAATACCAATTTTCAAAAATTCTTTAGCATAATAGGTTCCCTTCTCTAGATCGGAAATAAAACAAGTATTGTAATACTAGGTAACTTATAAAATATAGTTTATTAGTAATTTACAATAAAATGCAATATAGTTTTTTTCTATAAATGTTATTAAGTTACAATACGAATAAATTACAGTATTTAGTTAAAATTTCTATTTATTTTTATGAACTTAATTGGATTAATTATATAAATAAACTTATTGAAAATTCGTAATAATTTAGGGTGTACTCAAATTCAAGTATAAATTACAATAATTATCATTACTTTACACTATAGATTCCATTGAATTGAGTTTATTGAGGTTTTATATTTTTTAGTATACCAGATACCTATTTCTATAAAATTTTACATTTTAGAAAATCTGTCTATTTAAAATGTGAGGTTAAAAACTCTCAAATATTTTAGTATACATATAAAAACCTCTAAATTTGTTTTCAATGAAAATTTTTTGTAAATGAATTTGTATTGATGATTTAATTTTGTTTTGAAACTTTTATAATTAAACACAGCATTATCAATAAAAAGTATACAGTACACATAAAAAAGGTCAATTTATATCTTAACCAATTTTAAAAAAGAAGCCACTCGCTAGTTATGAAATAATTAAAATATAAATTTAAATATTTGTACATAATCCATATGTATATTTTTATTCACTGAGTTTAAAAACAATTTGCTGACATTCTCTGACATTTAGAATTCCCTATGTAAATATACACAATAAATCAATACGCTTAGCAAATGATAAAACTTTTACCATGGATATTACACCAAGTTTCCACTGGCAACATCATGTCTAAAAAGAAATAAAAATTTTTTAACTTTTTTCGGTGAGTATTATAACGTATACCATATAAATTATATTTTATATTTAACTAATGACACATATTTTACACAAGATACATTAATATAATACCGTCATTGACGGGAATAAACCACCAGTGTGCCAAATTTATGATTTTGAATTTTTAGTAATCCTGGATTCAGAAAAAAATTAGCTATTTATTGATAAAATCTCCAAGTGCTATCTGCATCGTAGAATAAATGAAAAATAATAAAATATCTCTCCTATGTGTCACCTAGTGTTGCCTACAATAAATCATTTATGAAATACATGCTTTCTTTTATTTAAGACGTTTTTTGTGTTTCCTGAAAACTACACTTTTTTACACAAGAGGTTTGTCGCACGTTTGGCAAATCATAATAACCCATTAATTAGCAACTTAAATACCTTAACGCTCCCTAATAGTCCTCGACATCCTCTGAAATGGAGATGGTGCAGAGATCTATTGCAATAAAAATTCACTTAACCTCGCCTCTCTCCTAATTTCTTATACCTCAACATTTCACTCCTACCCCTCATGCTGGGAGCCACAAGTTTGTTACTTCTTAACCACGTCTACCATGTTATTTTTAAGTATCTTATTACATATACCTATTGTGCTACTTTAGTAGAGATTGTATATTTCTTAAAAAAAAAATCTATTAAATTGTTAAAATGAGAACTATGGAAAGGGTTTCTTGTATTTAATAATTACAATAATTATGTAGACCAGATTTACAATCAACATAAGATCTACGTTGCTGCATAATACTTGTTGGACTCACTCAATAGCACTCAGTATACTAATAAAAATTATTTTTGAAAAAAGTTATTAAAAAAATATTTTTAGAAAGTCAACATATATGATGAGTATGTAACTGAAATACACCAACCATAAAAATATATTTATTCTAAAATATCAGCTTTAAGCCTTCAACAGTAATTATTATTATTACCTATTTTTATAAGGTGATCCCTTCTTATGTTTACTATTAACAATGGTCAATAGACAATAACCATTGCAAATTATTGTATACATTTTTAATGTTAGTATAATAATATACTGTCAACGCACTACTTTTAGGAAAATTAGATTAATGTTTATCAATCTACCTAACATAATATAATATTACCTATTTACCTAATCATCTGTACGGCGTACTAGATAACGTCGAATAACGTTGTATACATACAATTTGTACTTTTATAAACAAATAAATAATGGTATCGTTTATATTTTATTAGACATCAGTATTGTATACAATTAATTTATGCATGATAAATGATAATCAAATTCTTCGTGCAATCAACATTTATACATGGGTTGCAATACAAATCAAACGAATGACAAATATATTTGGCTCAAATGACATCCAATAATGGCCATAAAACCTATGTTTTTTACCAATTAGTTATAATATTATGATGTGTTTATATTGTAATTTTATCAAAAACACATACTAAAAATACATACCTGGGTTTAAAAAATTGATTGCAAGACCAAAATAATAAGCAATCACAACCCCTATATGATAGATATAAATTATAGGTTAGGTAAATATTTATTCATGATATGATAGGCATATTACATAACATTGCAAAAATGTCTAAGAGTGTCATTACGAATAACATAGTTTTTAATTTGTTATACCTACTTAAATACATATATTTAACAGTGTAATTAAAACTTCTACAACTACAATTTTAATTAATAATCTATAATAAAGGTAAGTATTTGTTATGTTTTGTTTTATAAAATGTTTGCTATATAATCAATAAAGAATCACATAATTTATTCATGATTTCTAACATTTTTTTAAAACTATTAGAAAAACAATTATAACTTACCATTTTGTTGACTAAACATCGGATACTTTTCTAAATATAAAGTAATGCTTTAATCATTCATTTATTCATGTTAAAAAAACACTACCTATAGTCTTAAGACTATAAAATTCTTCATTGAGATAGCTGGAAAATAAAATAACTTACCGTTAATTTTCTCAGTAGCATATTCTTTGTCTAAAATAAATTAAATCAAGATGGATATTTTGCATAACCCTATTTCACTATAATCCAAATGTTTAAATGTAAGCTCGCATTGTTTATCACCAAAAAGTATTATGCTGCATTCGATTATCTACTCAGAAGAAATTTAATGATAAATTTACAATTATGATTGCAATTACGTGTGCATGGAGCTCGATTTACGTCAAAAATATAGCATTGAAATTAAAACAAGTTTATTGGATATTATAGATCTGGTCAAGCCAGAGTCGAGAGGTTGTATGTATTGGAAAACCACCTAGCTTTATTTAAACGTAACGGTGAGGGTTGAAGATGTAAGGTAATGTCAGCTTGGTAGAGATCCAGTCCTAAGCAACACACCACCCACAATAACGTTTTGCAAGTCATGATGTGTATGTATTGAAAGCATGTACTGTTTGTGTACCTGTCCATGTAAAAAAAATTAAGAAGAAGCTAATTTCGAAAAAACTTGAGCCTATCAAGGCACTTGCTGTCGACTTATAATAATGAGCACACGGGAGCGAATGTATTTTATACTTGATAAACAGAATAATAATTACGAATCATGTTTTCTACTGATAAGAAATTTAACGAACTGACTACTATAGTATATAATTATTAAAACTGTGTTTGTGCCAGTCACACATATAAAATATAAACATTAAACACTGTGGCACTGCTTGGTGGGGTGTTTGGCTTCAGTCATAAGTGCGTTCTGAGTGCCAGCGCCGACCGGTGTTACTAGTTCCTGGATGGGTGCGTGTTCTGAACAAACCGTACCCTCCTCCACAGTAAAAAACGGGCTGATAACCATGCAGTTGATGACATACATTAAAATATAAATATATATATATGTATAAACATTAAAATGATTAATAATTTATTTTATGATAATATGTTCGATGTGTCTGCAGACATGCGATACATGGTGTGATTCATGTCAGTCTACACTAAAAACTGTTCTACGTTATCTATTATACGTAAATAACGTTTATTATCAGTTCTTATTATTTGGGTATAACACGAAAAAATCTATTTTGGATCAACACCTTGAAAAAAACCTTAAAATCTATACAAAAACAAACTATATCTTACATTTTTCTAAACCACAGTTTTCAGATGGGGGTTTCTGAACTAAAAAAAAATTCAAACACAAATTCGTATTAATGTCGATATTCATGGTAGACCAAGTAAGTTAGCTGCCTATATTTTTTGTAGATTAATTATAACTTTCTAATAATCACATTGCAACAACTAATATAAATTAAAAAAAGTCGATTAGATTATTTGTTATAAATACATACGAAAATCCACGTCGTCGGTAAGTTTTTCCAAATGGTTAACTCCCCATGAGTCTTTAAAAAAAAATTGACTTATTATCCATTTTTTAACAATGATCATCAATTATTAAAAAATTTAATAAAACTATAGATTTGATGATTTGAATTATTCATTCAAAAAAATGCACACATAAAATGATTTCCGATTCCACCAGAAATTATTAGCTTACTATATAATAGATTCTATATTATATTCTGTTATATCATAAATACACTAAAAAGTACTCATATATACGATGGAAATTACACATACTTAGTACAAATCCTGCAGCCTCTAGTTGATCTGTTAAGATATTTTAATAATAACATTAAAGTAATAATTATGATCATCAAATGACCAACATTAGCACCTAGAATATGCATTAACCAAGATCATTATGATGTTGATTATGCCACCCAAGTAACAAATTCATACTTTTTTCATTTTCTATAGGAAGTATAAATAAAGTTCACAGATACATAACAATTGAGTTACTGAGAAAAAAGTATTATTGATTTTACATTAAATTAGAGTAATATTATACAAAATTGGTTCCTGAGTAAAAATTAATTTACAAATTGGTCCTTACTAAAAATGATAAATTTAAGTACAAAATAATATGTTCGAATTATAACCCATACTCAAAAATAGGGAACACGCTATTTCCCACCAGTGTTGGATAAGTTGAATGTCTTCATTACTCTAGTTTTATGAGATAAAAGTTGATAACATTTTCCAGAATTGTTAATCATAATCGATTTGTGAATCAGAAAAAATTCATAAAAAAAACTCTGTGAAGTAGTTCGTACGATATACATTTGATTAACCAATAACTGGTTGGCGCACTAATCTTTATTCTTAATTTAATATAATATTATTTATAAGCATATAAAGTTGTTACTAATTAAATGTGCATCCTGTACACATAATTATTGTTATCTTACCTTGACACCCTATAAAATCAATAATATTTTGTGAAAAAGGCATGTTTACAAAAAGAATTAACGAATTGTTATTGTTAATTATTATTATTAACTGAATTTAACGTGTATACATAATATTTTATCAAATTGTTTCCATTCAGAAAATTCATTATTTACTTAAAAAAAAAAATACATGCACAAATATTGTTAATTAAATATGACTGCATCCTGTACACAAAACTGTTATCTTACCTATAGACTCTAAAACACATAAATCAATAAAAAATATTGTTAATTTTATATAGGTACATCCTGTATACATAATTGTAATCTTACCTTTACAACCTATAATACGTAAAAATAGAATTTTTACAAAAACAACTAATTCATTTTTATTTTTAATAATTATTATTAATTTTTTTTTTTTTTTTTGATTTAAGCTTCGGCAACTGAGGCCATTAGCTGTAGGTTGTGTGGTACTGTAGAGTTTTGGGACTGTAGGGGGGGGAACACGTGTGTGTTTTTGTTTTGGCAGAATTTCTATTGGGCACCCGTAGGTTTCTGCCATGCCCGGTTGGGGGATGGCGGCACTTGTTCTCCGGTCACCGCGACTTGTCCAGAGAAAAATGCCGCCCGGTGGCCGAGGATCGAACCGCAATCGGCTGCGTCGCAGCGGACGCGTCAGACCACTCGGTCACCTCGTCCCCCTATTATTAATTGTATTCAACAAATATACATAATATTTTAGGCATATATTTTTTCTCATTCAGAAAATTCATTAAATATACCTTATTATCTTCAAAAAAAATAATTTGCTCAAAATATTATTGCTAATTAAATATGACTTTATCCTGTACACAAAACTGTAATCTTACCTTCATACACTAAAACGTAAAAATGGCATTTAGATGAAAACATTATAATATTCATTTTTATTGCTGACAATTATTGTTGAATAAATTATTGTTTAATTTATATTGTTGAATTATTGTATTCAACGAATATACGTTATATCATTAATTATTTATAATTATGATCAATGGTTACATCTTACCAGCTAAATGTTCCCAATCTAATACTGCCACATTTTCTTTAAAAAAATTAAACATGAATGCTTTTAAAATTTGAATTTTAAGGATAAAGGCAGTATGGTTTGATTTTAAATCTAATTTTACGCATGTATTATTAAAAATTTAAATATTTTACATAGTATAGAATAAGATTTATGACCCTAATCAATAAGTTCTTAATTTTTTTAATATCTAAAATCATTTTTTTTTGAATAGTGTTAATATATTTTAACTCCATGGTTTTTACATACCTAATATTTAAGAATTTATTTTTTATTCAAATAGTCAAACCTTCATTATTTTTTTATGCCTACTTAAAACCTATCATGGGTAAATTTATGTGAAATAAAGCTTATAGTTCTATAGTGATTAAATAATAATCCGTTAGGTTTTTATTTACTACCTAAAAATTAGAATGTAATATAATATATAAAAAGTATACCTTCAGATGTAACCGGTACGTTATCTTGGCAGAAAACAACGACTACAGTCATAGCAATAACCATTAAGTTACTTACAGAAAACCCCATGTTTATTTTTTAAACTCAATATATCACTTTATAAACAGTACATACTGAAATCTAATATTGCAATGAACTACCGACAAAAAATTTAAGATTCAGAAAATATAACATAAAGTATTGTCCTTCGAAACAACTGTGAACACTAGCTGTTCATAATACACAAACAGTTAACCCTGCAGCTTTTACAACTTGGCAAGCAGCTGTAGAGTTTTCTAAACATCATAATATTATATTAACCTATAATTTATAAGCGAAACAATGAATATGGGTATTCATTTTACAATGATGTGTAACACACTAATATTGTACACGATTTTTAGAAGCAAAAATGTTCTGCTTTTCAACTACATATAAATTCAATGTAATTCAAATGTAAATCAAAGACAAAAATTAGTTGAAAATACCGTATTATAAATGCCTATTAAAAATAGATTACTTTTATAATATAATAGCAATATAATGAAGATATCATAAAATATACTTAATATCTTCAATACAATAAAAATCAAACCGGTCCCCACTTAATTGTGTGTACAAGGCTTTGTTACTCTAGGTGGGAGAAAATATTATTATCTATGGTCATGGTGCGTTTCATTGTTGCTATTGCCTATTTTACGTATTTACTATAATATGTTTCATTTCGTCGTTGACTATAAAAATATGGTGATATCACAACAAATACACCAAGTAAATTAAATTGAAGAATACATATTTTCTTTCAATAATTTATTTATTTGGTGAGAAATTATTTTGACGAATGTAGAAATGTCCATTTTAATATTATAATGAAGTATTAATTCTTCAGATTTATTTTGTTCCCTTTCTCCGTGTCATAATGGTAAACGGAAAACTAGTACGGTCTTTTTAAACTCGGAATATTGGTACGGTCCGCAATAGTCAAGGTTTCCCAAACTTTTATGAAAAAAAGGGGATAAAATATCAACGATTATTTTTAATTTAATTTTACTAACGATAGATGGTAAACCACGAGTGACTACGATTTTATTATTTGATTATATAGTAACAGAGGATAAAATGAAAATATTACTTTGCAAGACAAACTACACAACGAATGTGAGAGTTTCTTAAATAAAGAAATTCAAATGGGACAATTTTTAAATAATATTGCAAAATATACGAAAAAATTATTATTAATCATAAATTATATTATATTGTACCTATATTTTATATTTATTTTACCTGCCGGCTACTTTGTATGTACTTATTTGAGTTTTTTGTTCATTTTGATTGCTAACATTATTTTTTGTTTTGTACCATGTAAATTTAACTTGTTGACGATGGTGATTTATCAAAATTATATTGAGCATTGTAAATATTTTAGGGCCCCTGACATTTAAATTTTGAATAGTACCAGTTTTCCGCGTTTATTATTTCTTTTGTTATAAATTGTATGGGCCGTATTAATATTCCGAACATCGTCATAATAGGGGTATAATTTCACATATTATATAAATATGGTATATAGTATAAACATTATTTTACAAATATATTTATAAAAAAAAATCTTCGACACACCCAACGCCGGCTGAGGCAAACAGTACTTAATATTAAACGCTGACCTTCTTCACTCATAACCGTTTTTCTCATGCAATAATTTATCATTGAATTCAAATTTACCCCCTAAATATAGTGGCCCACAAGGCACCAAATGTACGGCACAGTGGTACTTAATTGCCTACTATTTTAATTTAGAACATGTCCTGCAAGTTTTATTCAATGTTCCAACTTAATAAATTATTTCTGCTACAGTCATCGGAACAGTACAAAGCCAGGGCTTGTATTTGAAAAATAAATTTTGTTTTACGTTATTTACAATCAAAACGTTATACAAATTTTGAGTTTATCGTTATTCAAAATTTAAACGTTATTCAACTTTTGTGTTTATTGTTATTCAGAATTAAAACGTTATACAATTTTTTTAAACTAATATAAAGAAAACGTATGCACGTTAAAACTATAAGTATATTAGTATTATAATATAAATATTAAACATTTGACAACAATTAGACAAACACTGACGAGTGAATAAATCTGAGCAAACTGAACACTGAACACAATAGTTGAATAACTTGAGTGGTATAAATTTCGACCGTAGTACAGATAGTACAGTACAATATTATCAGAGCATCACTATTATTAGCTATTGGTAATTAAATTATTCTATTAATAACTTCTTATTAAGTTTTAAAATAATATCTAATACGGGATCTCCCGGATAGGCCGGATACGGAATAAAATTAATTCTTGGATTGAATAAATAATTGAATATTACTAAGTATTATTAAATAATTGGGAATTAATTATTTCGTTTAATGGAATACAATATATACCGTTTTGCGTTATGTTTTGTTTAATGATACATCATATATTTTGTTAAACGTTACGTTTTGTTTTGTGTTATTTATTTAGTTACGTTTATCGTTTTCAGTTATAATTACGTTTACAAATTTCAATCGTTTTTTATCAAATATAACGTTATAATTATAACGTTATTATAACGTTTGCAAGCCCTGGTACAAACACACAGTACCTAGTAGATACTACCTACCAAAAAATATCACCAAAAATAGGCTTAATATAACTTTTGCATACATTTCATTTAGACGTTATATTATTATGGCTGTATGGTGTTTCAAACATTTTTAAACAATATATTAAATTGTAAATTTTCAAATAAATATTTGCTGATAAGTAAATCAAATGTATTTTTTGCTTTAAGTTTCAATAATATATTATTCATAGAAAAAATATTTAGTAACAGTTAAAAAATATAAAAACATCATGTAAATTATGCTTCTCATATCATTTTTCTAGTTAAGGTTATACGAGTAATCATCTAAACTTTTGGTAGTAATTATTTCAAATTATAAATTTTAGAAATATTTTATACCATAAATTCTTTTTAACGTAAAAAATCGAATTTATATCAAGTACCTACATAAAATTGGGCACGATATATTTTATGAACAATATATTATTTTACTGTAAAACCTTATGCTAGTTTATCAAGAAACAGTAAGAACATAATAACTGCCGAGAACAGTTGTTCCTAGTCCATAACAACTTGTTCAAATAATAGTCGTCAAACAAACATGGAGAATAAACACTGAGAAATCATGATTATTTTGATGTTGGGTTCCTTGTAATGTATTTGATTAGAATTTCGAAGCACCCACTCATCAGTGGCTTCCAACTAAATGTTTATATTTGTGTGTTTCATTCGCTAAATATGGAATCGGCAGTAAATAGTGAATAATCTTAACATTTGAATATATATTTTGTCAAATAAGAGTATTAAAATATGGTGATAACTGACGATAACCAAAAATATTAAAATAATAGTTAGACCGTTCTTTGTCAACGTTTATCAGTACAATTTGTATAAAAAGTTGTTGTGTAATTAATATTCATCGATCCAGTTTTACTCAATCTATTTTCTTGTAGGGCTGTTAATTGAATTCCGTACTCTTCAATTGCATTCACTATGTTGAGAACTGCTCCTGGTCAATAAAATGTGCGTAAATTCCAAAACATAAAGCAGTTTTCCATTTCCCATTGGTTTTCCCGGAAGCTCTGTTCCGAGGAAAAGTTCCTGAACATATGATTTTTTTTAAAGGTGGAGTTATTAACCCTACGCTCCTCCTACCAGGAGGTTACAACAACACCGACTATTCAAAGTCGGCGAGGGAGTTACTATACGCAATTGCAGTGCGTTATGCACTATGCGTCTATGCAGTGTACCCTCGATGTGTGCGACACTTTTGCTACGAAAATTATTAAAAAATAGAATCAAGGAATGGGAAAAACTTTTTAAATAATTTTTTTTATATTCCATTCTATTGATTTATAATCATTGAAAAAAATATGCACAAACCGATTCAGAAACCATGTACATATCTAACACAATGTATACGTGTAAGGTATAGTACCAAAACTATTTACTTACCTGCCAGAAATTAACTTTGTTTGACTATTAGAGTACCTATAGCACCTATACCAATAGTCAATATTTTTAGTTGTAGTTTATTAAGTATTAAATAGCAATAATAAGTACCTTATAAATTACTATAAATTAAACTGCATTATTATTTATTTTATAATACAACTGGCGTCCGAACTAACAATTAATTAAGTTGATTATCATTTATCAATATTAATACTCAATAAAATATATTATATCAGTATTCAGTACAGCTATTAATTATTATGATTGTAGAAACTAGAAAGGAATACACGGTAGATAGGTTTGGATTAGGCTAATAAGTTTAAAAAAAATTAAAGTAAATTTACTTATTTATTTTATATAACACCTTATTTATTTAGTCATAAAAAAATTAAATATAATAATGTAATAATTCATACATTATTTAAAATTTATTTATTGAATCTCTCTCGCTAATACAGAGTGAATATGCGATAAATAGCTAGTATTTACATATATTAATTTATATAATTGATTCCTGCTTCCCTGAACAATTGACAAATATAATTATTCGATAAAATGCAAAGGGCCGATCATGAGTCACTAAATCATATTTAAGGAATTATTAGCTCACTATAATCACTATTGATTCATTACAAGTTTAGTTATACCGTTAATGTAATCCGTCATAAGACTTTTAAACTATATTACTCAATTATTATAGTGACATTGTGAAATAACAATAATAAATTAAAACTATACAATTATAAATATTTTGAGGATACCAAACAGTCTTTAATGCAAATATTTTCAAAAATAAATATAATATGTAAAAAAAAAATTTTGAATCTTTTGAATCTATATGGAGAAAATATTAAAACTATAATATATTAATTTCAAATTTCAAACATGACAGTAATCATACACCATTCCAATGGTTTTCTTTGCTCTCTATCTATAAAAATAAAAAATAAATTTAGTTATACTTTGTTGCCATTTACTTATATTGGCATTAAATTTATTGTGAACTTATATATGTATATTAAATATAGATGTTCAGCTGCTCACATTATCAGCCGATCCTTTAATTTATTTTTAGGTTAGGTTAGGTTATAACTCAAAAACTACTAGTTCAAATTCTCATTCTAATTAATGCGTCAACGTCTTCAGATAAATTATCCACTTATTGATTTACAGTAGAACAGAAGAGGAAAGGGGGTTATCATTGAAAAAGAGAAGTCTGTATCTACACAGCACACTTATTTAATTGCACAAAATATTTCAAGCATTTGAAAATATGATATTTAAGTAAATTTTAAAAACTCCAAAAATCAAATTTTAAATAACTATATTGTTGAAGAAAAAACGGGTGATCATGCTTAGTGAGTTACCCTGTATATTAAATAATAATATGATCTCAATAACATGTTCAACTCGATTTTCGACCACCTTGATTTGAAAAATAAATAGGTAAATCAGTTGTATTGTGTGGTTATCACGTTTATTCAGTAAGATATTAAACGGTTCTTTTTTTTAGAATTGAAGAATGATGAAAATGGCAAAATTGAATAAGTTGCCTACTAACAGGTAGCTTACATAATTACATATTAAATTACTGAACTTGGTAAAGACCTTTTTATATTATTCAGGACTATTCTAATAACCGACTAACCTGCAGGTATATAATATTCATTATCTTCTTCACTCCTAGCTAAATATTAAAAAAATTATACTGTGTAAATTTAAGTACCATTGTAAAAATATGTTCAAACAAATATGATAGTAATAAAATTAAGTGCCTAATTATTAAGATACCTAATTTTTAAATAAAAATGTGTTCCATAGTTATTTTTTATATATTATAGAATATGTAAGTGATTGAGAATTCATGAAAAATAATCGTGGTCAATTGGTAAAAATGGTAAAAAAATCAGTACTTGATGTAAAAACTAAAACCCTTATACTTTTAAAAGGTAAAAAAAAAAAATTAAAAACTGTTTTTGAAATATGCATTTGAAATATAATCACTTAAAACAATCAATTATAGTATGAATGATATAGGTGACAAGGAACAGTTAATCTCAGTTAAAATTGTATGTATATAAAAGTTAGGATTTTTGAATCTGGTGGTAACTGATTTCTATACAATTTCAGCAGTTATAAATTGAAAATGTATATATTTATATACGGTCGCCAAAAATTGATAAATGATAACATGATTTATACATTTTGAATCATAATCAATAACAATTAATTTGAGGGTCCACTCCATAACAATTTGAGTGTTAAAAAAAGTTTTTAGTATGCATGGTAAATTTTTTTACAGGTAAATAAATTTTACCTTGTACATTCACCACACATTTCTTAGTAGATTATATTTTTGTATAAAACTAAATTAAATATTGTCAACGAATATAATACGTACTAGTTACAAACATTAGTTTGTGCATATGTGAACAGTATTTAGATACGAATTCTAAAATGCACGAATAAAATTGTAGTTTTTTGTTATTTTTATTAATAAAAACACACACTCTTAAGCTTCTGAGTAGTGAGTGTGGAGTGAGGATTATGATGCAAAAGATAAGAATTAGGTAATGTAACAGAACTATAATGGCGTTGCAATCCACTCCCATGCGGTAACTGTCACGCCCTTTGCGTTGACACCAATCATCCAAAATTATTTTATTACTATTTTTATAATTATTTTTATAAATAATATTTCCATTGTAATTATTATTCGCCCCGATGCTCTTAAGTTGATTTGGTGATGCAGGGTGCCACCTTCCACCAGTATGCCTCCTAAACACCATTTTAACATAATGATTGGCAACTGTCTTACTTTTTGTTTGGACCAAGGTTTATAATTAAAAAAAATATTTTTTGAACATAAATTATACATTTTTCATATTTAATAGCAAATTCAATACACTATTTCTGTTCGAGATATCTTAGAGGGGTTTCAGGAATTGTGAGGACAACAACATTTTTACCTTAGAATTAGGATGGGTTAGGAACATTTATAAAATGATAAATTCTTAAAAGTGTTTGAGGAACATCAAATAAAATATAACAAAAAGAGTTCGATCAATTGTGAGTTAAATCATTTTACAAGTGGCGGTCATTATTCCATAGTAAGTAAATATTTTAAGGTTATTGGAAAATCGATAAAAAAATATAATATTAAAATACTGCATAAATTCAATTGATGAAAAGTAGAATTGTTGTCTTTTTTATAAAATCTTCACATTGTGTACCGTCTTAACCCATTTTTGTCATTCAATCGTACATTTTAAACATTATTTTGTTTAAAATTAAAATGTGTTTGAGTGCCAAATAAATATGATAATCAAAATACACATGATCTATTCGGCAATGCTGAAAATATTATGATGGTGTATTTAAAAATTATTTAAATAGAAATAAATTAAATCTTAAATTTCAAAAATATATTAATGTATTGACATGTGCGATGGATATTAATTTAATATTAAAATAGGTACTTTTCAGAATCAAAAAAATGAATAGAGTTTAATGAGTACCTAAACTCCTTCTTAGGCCCATTTGGACTTATGAGATCCAACTACGGGGTGCTGCCAAAACTTCTACGTACAATTCTAAAAGCTTCATTCTATGTCTATAACCACACCCTCCACTCTGATCTCAAAATACCATTAGTCTCCGAACTAGCGAAAACCTACTACAAAGATTTCAATAGCCGCCTAGTACAACATAAGAATCCCCTAATCTCCGATCTATCATCTGCTTCCATCCCAGGCAACCCGATTAAAAGACAAAAGACAGTGGTGTCGTGACCTGCTAGCCTAACAAAATTCTCTACTATGTCCTAGTACCTCCGCTGGGAGGCTTCTGCTGCAGTCTGTCTAATCAGCCTTTTTATTTTTATTTATTTCATCTTATATTTACCATAAATTGTTGTTTTTTTTTTGTAACTATTTCAAACTTATCGTAGGTAAACTTATAAAAATGATGAGCAAATTTATTTGAAAATAACACAATCATCAGCTGAATTTAATGTAAGAGTAGTCACAATAAATTGAAACATCCATTTTGTATATTATCCCATCAACAATTTGAATGAAAAAAAAAACAAAAAATAATAATGATAATATTATTAAATACCTATAATATTTACCGTCTCTTAGTATGGATGATATTTTTAAGTTACGAATTGTCTCGTTTTGTTTTTATTTGACTTACAATTCAATTAATTAAAAAAAACTTAATATTCTGGAGGTAACCGAAAAAGGATGTATACCTACTATATTAAAGTTAAACGACTTAAAGTCGTTGAATATATTATATAAGTCTTGAGACAATATCGTAGTACATATTTTATTTTTTTTTATATTTACATATATTTTAATCGTCTATGCAAATCTAATACCTACCTACTATAATTGTTGAAGGCTGAATTACAAAATGTATACGACTAACAAAAATCGTTTTCTTCTCATCACGTTTCGGTTTTTTTTTAAACATAAAATAGGAAAATGAATCCTCTATATTTATATATAAACGGCGAGGAAGTGTGTTGTACCTACAATAGTAGAGAGCTGTGGAGTGAGAGAAGCATAATGTATTAATGTATTGGAAACAATATTGGAAATAAGAGGATTTGAGAGATCAAGGACATTTTTATGGAACTCCGTATGGTAATATGAATAATGGGATGCAAACATAAAAAAATGTTTGGATCTTAAGGTTATTGCTATTGTCTCAATAAGGAGCATTTACTAGCAATTGAAAAATTTTAGATTAGAATGATGGGAATATTTTTAAGTTAGATGTCTTTGTATAAACCCAAAGTTGAATGCAATTGACCATTAAAGGACGAGCCAATAGATCATAAATTATGATTTTGCTTTTTTGCGAAATTCTAGAAGGAACAGGTTTATTATCCTAGCGGTATCTTCGATATCTCGGGAAAAATGAGAGTCATTGTTATTTCATTGATTTATCTTCCCCACACCTGTAGTGTGTTAGGTCAGTCGAATATAATATAAGGGCAATAAGATTGGTGTATCTACTGCATTGAGGAATGCCTGTTTTTATTGAACGGATGCTAAAATATTCATCTTCATACAATCGCTTGAAGAGTAGAAAAGGATTTATGCATAAGATAAAGTTTAGTAGATAAAGAGAGAAGTTTGTTTATTGGTCGACAACAATTGATATTCGTTATTTTCATTTTTCAGCCTAGTATTATGTAATATCTCCATTCATTGACATTATGGATGCCAACTTACCTGACTGATATAATATATCTTTTTCATCCGTCACTAAAATGTAAATAAAATAACGTTTTATGATGTTGCATTAGTGAATATACAGAATGATCCATTTAAAAGTATTTTTGAAATAATTATGGTATCCTCTTAAATGTATTACTCGCTATAGGTACATTTCTCTTCAGTAGGCATTGCAATGGGAGCGGGTCATGTCTTCGAATGTCATGTGTTCGAAGGCCATGTTTTCGAATGACGAGTGTTAGAAAAGTTATTTGTTCGAATAGTAATGTAATCGAAAAATTATTTGTTCGAAAAATATATGTTCGAAAAGTTGTATGTACGAAATATTATTATTTTATTTTTAAACGTAAATTTTATCGAAGTACCCGATTAATATCGTTGAATAAAAGTTATAAAGATAAAAGATAATAGATTGATAACAGCTTATAGCTTATTAGTAATGACTATTGTGGTGTGGTCTAGTGTACAAGAAAACGCGATTGTAGTCTGTACTGAAGCTTAGTTTGTTGCGAATTTAATACGTTTTATGTAATTTGTCTTTTTATTTGAATAAAATGTGTTCTATAGAAGTTATAAAAAGTATACACAGAGGTAAAGTATTAAGTGTAAATAATTTTTTATACATATTAAATAAAAATTATAAAAGAAAACGCGATGAACGAAACGTTTTTTACTGGACATGTTCAACTAAATGTGGAGCAAAAATTTGTACTGTTGAAACATCGAACGAGGAACACGAAATCGACGAGTTTTCTACATATTCAGAAGATCAACACTCTCACGCAGCGGACCCAATTGCTATTGAAGTAAAAAAAATTAAAGAAAATATTAAACAGCAAGCATTAACATCAAATGTTGAAAAACCAATTCAAATATTCCATGCAGCTATATCGGGTACAACAAAAACTATTTCATCGCATATTACTAAAGAATCAGCAAAACAAATTGTCAAACGTCAACGTCGTATTAACCTAAAACAAAACGAACCCGAAACAATTCAATCAATAGATCCTCCACAGTCATTAAGTACAACATTATCTGGAGAATATTTTTTAGTAAAAAAAACCGAATCTGTTTTATTATTTACAACAAAAGACAATTGTAAACATCTCCAAGAGTCTAAATGTTGGCTAGCTGACGGAACATTTAAATCTTGCCCGAATATTTTTCAACAGCTTTATTGTATACATGCATCTATTAAACGTGGTAGTGAAGAAATATATGTTCCATTAGTGTATTAAAAAGTCAATCAATATACAGTGAAATGTTTAACCTAATTAATCAATATTGCAATGAAAATGATATTGATATAACGAAAAACTCGGATCTTGAAATGATTACAGATTTTGAAATAGCCGCAATAAACGCAATCAATGAAGTTTATCCGTTTGCTATGCACTCAACATGTTTCTTTCATTTCTATCAAAATATTTATAGGAAAATACAAAATGTTGGTTTATCTACAAAGTACTCAAAAGATGCAGATTTTAATCTTTTAGCCAGACACATCCCCGCATTGGCATTTTTGCCGATTGACATGGTACGGTATTAGTCATTAGATAATTAAATTTTAAATTAATATTTTTAAAATGTTATTTTTATTTTAGATTCAAGAAGCATGGTCTCTTTTGAAACCTTTGTTCAATAATAATAATGAAGAAAAAAGTATAATTACATATTTTGAAGAAACGTACGTACTTGGAAAAATCGGTATGAGAACAAGGGGTAGGCCTAACAATGTGCCTTCACGAAATCTTCCATTATTTTCACCAGATATTTGGTCAGTTTCCAATCGTGTTAGATCAGAACTTCCGAGAACAACTAATACAGCTGAATCATGGCATAGAAAATTAAATCGACTTACATCTCCTCATCCAGGTAAAAATCATATTTTTTTTTTATAAATATTTTATTTCGTATATTTTATTCAGGGCTTCACAAATTTATTACAATCGTGCAAAAAATTCAATCTGAAACAGAATCACAGATTGAAATGTTAATATCCGGTCATCAAATAAAGAAAAAGAAATATGGTGTGGACCGCAATATGAGATTGCAATCAATTCAACAGCGAATAATCGACAATCCTAAATATTGTAAATTGGAGTTTTTAAAAGCAATCGCATATAATTTAAGTTTTTAATTATTGATTTATAACTGCCTAGGTNATTTAAATCTTGCCCGAATATTTTTCAACAGCTTTATTGTATACATGCATCTATTAAACGTGGTAGTGAAGAAATATATGTTCCATTAGTGTATTAAAAAGTCAATCAATATACAGTGAAATGTTTAACCTAATTAATCAATATTGCAATGAAAATGATATTGATATAACGAAAAACTCGGATCTTGAAATGATTACAGATTTTGAAATAGCCGCAATAAACGCAATCAATGAAGTTTATCCGTTTGCTATGCACTCAACATGTTTCTTTCATTTCTATCAAAATATTTATAGGAAAATACAAAATGTTGGTTTATCTACAAAGTACTCAAAAGATGCAGATTTTAATCTTTTAGCCAGACACATCCCCGCATTGGCATTTTTGCCGATTGACATGGTACGGTATTAGTCATTAGATAATTAAATTTTAAATTAATATTTTTAAAATGTTATTTTTATTTTAGATTCAAGAAGCATGGTCTCTTTTGAAACCTTTGTTCAATAATAATAATGAAGAAAAAAGTATAATTACATATTTTGAAGAAACGTACGTACTTGGAAAAATCGGTATGAGAACAAGGGGTAGGCCTAACAATGTGCCTTCACGAAATCTTCCATTATTTTCACCAGATATTTGGTCAGTTTCCAATCGTGTTAGATCAGAACTTCCGAGAACAACTAATACAGCTGAATCATGGCATAGAAAATTAAATCGACTTACATCTCCTCATCCAGGTAAAAATCATATTTTTTTTTTATAAATATTTTATTTCGTATATTTTATTCAGGGCTTCACAAATTTATTACAATCGTGCAAAAAATTCAATCTGAAACAGAATCACAGATTGAAATGTTAATATCCGGTCATCAAATAAAGAAAAAGAAATATGGTGTGGACCGCAATATGAGATTGCAATCAATTCAACAGCGAATAATCGACAATCCTAAATATTGTAAATTGGAGTTTTTAAAAGCAATCGCATATAATTTAAGTTTTTAATTATTGATTTATAACTGCCTAGGTNCGAATAATCGACAATCCTAAATATTGTAAATTGGAGTTTTTAAAAGCAATCGCATATAATTTAAGTTTTTAATTATTGATTTATAACTGCCTAGGTATATTTTTCCAAATATTTTTTTTTAATTTTATGTTTATTAATTTTTAGAATATTAGATAGCTTTTTAATTTAAATAAATAATTTTCGTACATATAACTTTTCGAACATATATTTTTCGAACAAATAATTTTTCGATTACATTACTATTCGAATAAATAACTTTTCTAACACTCGTCATTCGAAAACATGACCTTCGAACACATGACATTCGAAGACATGTACCCCACCCATTGCACTACACTAGTATACTAACGTTATCACCTATCATGTTGCATCGTTATTCTATAAATGTTGTTATGGTTAGATGTTAAAGGAGCATTTTTCTTATAACTTTTGCAGCTCCTCATCAACAAAAATATATGACGAATTAAATCTCTATTTATTTGAGTAATGCTACCTTAAATAGAATACCCTAAAAATAAAAAGCACTACCACAGAGGTATTTAGGTAAGAAGCTAACTATATTATGTATTGTAGTGACTATAATTCGATGACTTAACGTTGTCTTCAAAATTAAAATCACAATATACCACGGACATTGTAATTTGTATAAGGAGTTGAGAGTTGAGGTCTGATTCAAGAGTCAATATTTTTATTTCATAATGTGTATTTTTTAAGTTTGAATAAGAAAATATAAGTTTGCATTTTAGTTAACACTTACTCAAAATTTTTTCTAAAAATTAATTATATAATATTATAATATATTATAGTATAATACATAACAATAGTTACAATTAATAATTATAAGTGCAAGCAGTATTAACGATTTTTTCATAACGTTTCTGCTATATAATTCTATCATCATCGTGATTTAATTTTTTTTTTTTTATCATTTAACAAACTGATTGTAGAGATTGTTATTGATTTTATAATAAATAATATTATACCTACCTTATGATAATATATTTATTATTTAAATTATCAATTCCTCAATTTTAACAGAAACTTAGACTTAGGTACATTTGGCAATTACATATTCATTAATGTGATTAATAAATTGATTCATATATTTATTTTATAAGGAACTCTCATTTAAGCTTATTGGTACTTTCTATAATCACTGAAAATTGTAACACTTACCGATATCTTTTTGTAAAACAATACAATTTAAAATAATTTAATATATACAATATTAGTGCGTTCAAGTTTTGTCACATGTTTCCACATGACCAATACCATAATATGAGCTAACAACATAGCTAACCTAACCTAACCTAATCAGTGATAGTCTAATAATTTTGCCACGATTGGGCTGATTTTTCAACATGCACTATTCGATAATTAAAAATATAATTTATAGTTATAAGATTATAAATATTGAAAAAGTCATTTGAGGACGGATGAAGGCATATATTCCTCACGTTTGACCACCAAGCTATACATTTAACGCAATAATAGGACATTATGATTTATGAGATAGGTGTACACTTACCGAATAGGTATTCTAAAAAATGTAAATCATTTAACATTATTAGATTTTTCTAAATTCTGTAGTTTTAACTAATTTTTGCAAAATATCTTATGTAATTCCAGCAGAATATTGTGTAAGTTTGTATTATAAATATCTTAAAACGAATCTAAATGTCTTAACATTGAACTGTGCATAGATAATTATATTCGTGATATAATAAATTATGAAAGGTTCAACGAAATTTTTGAGTCACGATTTGCAATATAATACCTAAGTAAAATCGCATTTTTTTTAAAGTTAAAACATCACAGTATAATATATATAGATATTTAAACTAACACATTTTAAAAAATGTGACAAAATATTTGGAAAATGTTTACTACAACATTTTTGAAGAACCTTGTATTATATTTTGTCATTTTGAATTGGAAACAAAAATTGTGTCAACATATATGACAATAAAAATTAAATTAAATTAAAACTAAAATTATGCTCAAACATTTTAAAAATTATTTTAATATCTGAAAAATGCAAACATTAATATTAATATGGTGAAAATGTCAAGTCACTTAGATTTTCCTTTCTAAGTTACAATGCATAAATAAAACCAATTTTTGGTCAAAAATTGTGTGTTAGTTTTTCACAGATATTTAAAAATAATGGAAATTTCGTAATTTTCTCAAAGTATCAACAAGAACATACTTTCTAACAGAAAATTTTAAAAAAATTCAAATTTTACCCTTTTTTTTAAAAAAAAATCTATTTTTTAGCTGATGTCCAATTGGTAAATTGAAAATGTGATAACCAACAATGTTACAATTCGGTTGTAAAACATTTTGAATCACTATAGCATGAATAATGATTTGATTACTTAACACACTCCTTATTATAAACATTTGCATATAAAACACTTACGAAGGTATTTACCTATAAAATTAAAATTAAATAAGTGTAAACAATAATCAAAAAGTTACAACTTCCAAAAATATCCATACAAAAACAAATACTTACCAGTTTACTCGTGTTCTACAAAATGATAAAATCATTTATTAAATACATATATTATAAATAATGATGATTTCATATTTATCTGTTTACTCTAAAATTGTGTGAATCGTTAGTCATTAAACAAAAAAAATGTCAGCACATACCTTCAATCAAATTATAATATAAAAAAAATTGGTTAATATATTTAATACAAATAAATTATCGACACATTACATGTTTGTTATACTTTATTATAACACTGCTATAATAAAAATTAAATAAATGTTTTTCAATCTCAGTATGTTACTTAACTTTCTATCACTTTTTGATTCCATTTATTTCATTTATAATGATATTATTAGAAATAAATAAGGATACTTACCACATTTTTTAACTACAAAATGTAAGCATAATCTCGTTTAATATTTCGATTGTTATGTGTTTTTAAATGTTATAGGTTATTTCCGTATTAACTTACTCCAATACCATCATATTTTAAATAATATCATTTTTTTTTTTTTTGAGGATTGTGGGCTTATTTTTTTATATTATAGTCACTTATAAATTTTTGTCAACAGTATTATCCTCAGTAAAACTACGATATATAAAAGATTAGAAAAAACGTTTTTGCATTGCCTTGCATCTAGTAGTTGACGTTTTTAGTTGTTGACATAGTTCAGTTGTCAATTCTACTAATAAAAATAATATCACTGTTAATGAAATGTATCCATTACAGGCAAACGATAACTTAGAATTTACAGTGACATTATTTTTATTAGTAGATCAATCATCTCACCGACCAAGATATCACTATATGAACCAACCAATCCGAATGTATTGCACATACCTACTTATTTTATGAATAATTTCAATTCATTTTCGACTTATTTAATCGATTCTAAACCCTTATTTAACCAAACCTAACCTTATAGTTTATATGTATTTGATAATACTTATAAACAGTAAGAATGAGAACTGTATAGGTATATGGAAGAAATAAAATAAAATAAAATATAATCATTTCTTAACTACTCAACTTCCACCACAAATATTATTTTTTTGACGATATTTCTAAAAAAAAAAAAATATTCGGCCGCAGTATACAGTGTGATGAAATAACATTTTAATCCCTCGATTCTTGGTGTAACCTCACTCATCTCTAAGCCTATTACAATTATTAATACTTACTCATATACTGCTCTACATAAAAAAATAAATAAATAAGTAAACATACTATTTTTAATAATTGAATCTACATATATAATATAATACATTCTTATAGTTAACTAAAATTTAATTTATTCTTCATATTGACATCATATCATTTAATGTACTTCTTATTATACCTATACTCAATTGTATATAATTTATAATCTATATTAGTTTATTACCCGAATACATCATTCATAGTATACAGTAATGTAGTCAAATAGCCTATCCAAGACGCCGTTTAATCATATTGTATTTTAGTGTGTCAATATGAAGTATTATGCAATTCCCGGAAAAATGTACCCAACGTCGGTACGAAAAAAGACAAACTTTCAACTAGTTATGCATGTGTTCTAAATTTGGTTGCCACTTGACAAAAATATAATTTCATGTTATATTACATAATAACAACAATAAAAGGTATTAAGCAATAATAAAGAATAATAAATAACAATACAATGCATAATGTCTCCTCTGTTATATCTTAAATAACAATAATACGGCATTGCGTACTAAATTATACACCAATAGGAAATAAGTACTGATAAGTATTTTTAAAAAAATAAGGTTTAAACTATGCTGATTCTGTAATAAGAAATTTGATGTCTACATTTAAAAATAATAAAAAATAATTCTATTTTAGATAATATACAACTATATAAGTGAAGTTCGAAATTGTATAAAATAAACTTTAGACGTTGCTCATAAGTGAGTCATAATTTATATCGGTATAATACGTTGTAAGTTAAAACTACTTAATATAATCAATAATTATTATATTTTATTTTTATTTTATTTTACAATACGGGACGAACCCTTTAAATACATGAATATAATAGTATAATAATAATAGTTTTAATAGTTTATGGAAACGTGGCTCAATATCAGAGAGAGAATGAAGGGTCAGTGTTGGCAATGCGCATAGACGGATGATCGGTGAGTTAAGATAGTAGTTTGAGGAAGAGAAAGGTATATGAAATGGAACAGATGTTCGTGTACAGCGAGAGGGGACATTAAATGAGACATGGGATAGTAATTCAGGACTATCAATTTTAGATGAAAGAAGATTGGATAGAAATGTCAGGTTAGCTGAATGACGACGATCGGTGAGGCTTTCTAAGGAAAAGAGGCGTTGGATTGGCGTGTAATCGTGAGGTGGACAGACTATCTTTAGTTTGTAAGCGGCTCGACGGAGGAATTTTCTTTGAAGCCTTTCTATCATGCTACGTGCGGAAGCGGTGGACGGGTCCCAGAGGACGGAACCATACTCAAGGATGGGACGGACTAGGGAGCAGAAAAGAGTTTTTAGAGGGGAGAGCAAGTGGAAGAAAGAAGAGACACGGTTTACGAAACCAAGCAGCAGTTTAAGAGCCTTACAACATATTATCTGAATATGCATATTAGGGCACAGGTTCCGTGTGAGAGTAAATCCTAAATCCTTTACATAATTATTACAGGCTTTTAAGGCGGTATTGTTTAAGGTGTAAATATGTTCGATTTTAGCATTAATACGACTAAAAGTCATTACTGAACATTTAGCTATATTGAGAGCTATAATAATAATATAAAAACAACTTACTGACTTTTAGTCCTATAGAAATATTAAAAAATGTAGTGTATTGAATTAGCTATGTACATTAGTATTTTATTTTTATTTTTATAAAAAATATTTTTGTATATTTATTCTATGTCACTACATTTCAATCACTCGATTCTCAACCACGTGATTAAAAATCGATTTACACGGTCCCGCACATTTGATTGTACAATTTGTAAAAACAATCAATTTTTATAAACTTTTTTATACTTGTATAATATGGACGTGAAATCTTTGGAAAATCCTTGATGTGTATGGAACAATGCTATACCTCAAAATTGTTTTATCATACAATTAAACTATAATAATTGATGATAAAATGTTTATAAAAAAATCTATATTCAAATAAATTAACATAATAAAAACTAAAACGATGATTGAAAATTGTCACACAACCAAAATACGATACAGGGTTAAATTACTAATAATTTAACTTGCCTGCACTTTTTAAATTGAAACAGATAGAAAAACACTTACCAATAAAATCACCTAAACAATGAAAATAATGTGAAGGAATAACATCATATTAAAATAAATGTGTATTAAGGTTTTCATTTTTATAAAGTCATGCATATTGCGTGTGTAGTACATTGGTTGTGAGCTTAAAACTACCATTGTATTTTAACATTAAACAATTAACGTTGGTTTTACTTTTTAACTATATATTTTCAATTTATCTAATAATTATTCAAACAAAAAAATTGGCTAAAAATACTTTATTATTTGAATTAAAACACCACACTCTTGATAAGATAATGTACTCATTCCTCCTTATAAGCAATTAATGAGACTGAACAACTTACCAATGAATAAATCTATACAATTAAAATAAAGCTTTGGTATTAAAATTTCCAAATTTTTTTATAGATGTTTAAAATATCTATTCATTGTTATTCTACATAAGCTGTAAACATAATACTATAATAGGTATCTCGTTTATTTTATTTGGACATAATATGTTTCAAGTAAATATCATTATTAGAAGTAAAAATAGTTACATATACAAGTAATAACTTATATAATATTAAAAGCAAAACATATGAATAGAAATACTTACTCATTAGTTGCCCTACAACATTTAAACAATATGGTAAGTATAAATTAATTACCAGCATTTACAAGAAAATATTTACATGACATCTAGCACTTCAAATGATGGGATCGATATTGAAGATTCAGCGCTGAGCGATGAATGTATTGATTTTACAATGAAGTGTGTTTTTTTAAAAATTTTTTATGTGTCCGTCATCATGTTTTGGGCTATTTTAAGTGCTTTGATTTTCTTCAACAACGTCTTTTCTGGTATCAAAGTAAATCTAATTGGTACTTGGGGGGGGGGGGGGTCAAAAGTACCCCGACTAGAGGGGACTATTTAGAGGGCGTCGAAACAAACAATTTATTAAGGAAAAACGGAAATTTTTACGGAAACCTGGTTNCAGCGCTGAGCGATGAATGTATTGATTTTACAATGAAGTGTGTTTTTTTAAAAATTTTTTATGTGTCCGTCATCATGTTTTGGGCTATTTTAAGTACTTAAATTTGCTTCAACAGCAACTTTTCTGGTCGAAATATGAATCTAGTTGATGCGTTCGGGAGAGGTAAAAGTGAAAAATTCCCAATACTTTTCAAAATTGGAAGGAAAAACAAACAAACAATTTATTAAGGAAAAACGGAAATTTTTACGGAAACCTGGTTTTTGACCCGTGTTTTCTATACACCATACAATTTTCTAAGTATTCTGACTAGTGTTGAACTATTTATAGACATATTACATTTTCGATTATTATTTGTTTTTTTTTAAACTTATATCGATAAATGTCAATACATTTTATTTGTTGGGACAAAACGATTGAAAATTGAATACAAGGCTCCTGATGTATCATTACGATATCAGTTGAAAAATATCGAAAATACATATGTATGATTTTTTTTATAAGCATTTAAAGTTCAAATTTTGACAACATTATTATAGTTATCAAATTGAAATTGCACAAATTATTTTGTAGTTCAAAATATTTTAAATTTTCAACTTTTATAGCTAAGGGTTGAAAATTAAATTTTTAAGTGGTGGTGAGAGGGATCATTGAATAAGGGCTTTATCTGAATTTGATTTAGGGTCGGTGTCTTGTATACTACTAATAAAACATACAAATACTTACCGACTGAATAACCTACAACATGTAAAAAATGTTATGCATTATATCGATAATTTTTATATGTTACATTTTATTTTAGTCATAAAAAACTATATAAACACTCTGTTATGTATAACAAATCTACAACTAGAAATACTTACGAATAAATTTTCCTAAAAAATAAAAGTAACTCATTATTAATTATGCTAAAAGTAT